CCAATCACAAATATCCAGACTGGATAATAGAAAAAAGACATGTTAATCGTTCTATCGCGGTCACTGGTCAGAAAATTCGTCTACATAGAAACTATTTTTTCCGGGGTAACAAACACTCCGTCGCCGCTGCCAACCACGGCTTCTTTAGCCACTTTCGAGTATATTCTAATGGATTATAACAGCTGTAAAATTTATCAAAATACACATCAGCTGATGTTGCACCATAAACATTCTAGAATAATTTTAAATGGCAAAAAGAAAATGTCATTTTGATCTGATAAAGTTTAAATAGAGTACACGGCGAGTACATGTTTAAAAACTTCACTTGAAGCAGTTTATAGATTAAAACAGTCACGTAGCTATATACAGTCATACAGCTTCGCGAGTTGGAATGATGTTTTTCATATCATCTTTTAAATGTCATAGATTTCTTTTTTTCAAAGAAAATATTTGTATAGTTCTTCAGAAATGAAAATCACATCCGACTCCTTAAATGAAGACACGAAAATTTATGCAGTTGGCAATTATAGAAATTTAGCTCACTGATCTACAGCAGTCCATAAGCTTTTTTTTTATTTAAAAAAAATGGTGCGAATATTTTAGGGAGAAACCATGGTAAAAGCAGCCATGCAATACCCCCGGGTTGGAGTCCCTTTCAAACCAGGAACGGAACTATGCATATTAGTCCAAAACTTACTGATTCTTACCAGACTCCTGTAGATATATTGTCACAGTTATCGACTGGTAAAATATTTAGATCATATAGACCAGTATAAAAGTGAACATTATTCGTAATACATATATGCAGCTGAGAATATTAGTTTAAATTGAAGGTTCTGTTAAAGACATAAACACCGCACGTGAGCTATGTCACATTTTACTTGAAGTTATCAACGTTTTTATAGCCTACTTTTCAGGATACTTCACATAAAGATGACGTCCCGGATTTCGAAATGAGATTCTTCGCGTGTTATGGATTTTAATTCAATATCATCGAAAGATGTTATAATTGTCGCTAACCGATCAAAAACAATGTTTAACACATTGTTTAACAATGCATATAGCTAGAACAGAAAAAGCCATACAATTTCGTCAGATCATGGATAACAAAAGGATCACTTGAGAAAAACGAAACATTCAGATTTGCAATCAACATTGAAAATGTGTTGATTTACAGATTGAGCTGAAATTGACTATTCACTGACTAAATCTCGACAGGCAGTTATCTATTAGACTCCTGTGAGGTGTTAAAATCTGGAAATAAACATGTTCAAGATATCAAATATATGTTAAATCTATTGTTTAGTTTCTTTCTGTCCTATATTAATTGGGGCAACTTTAGAGGACTGATTGGAGATCCTTGGAATATCTAGTGAAATCTCGACAACATAGAAGCTTTTATATTTTATGGCGGATGAGGCACCAACCTTACTCACAAGTCCAATTTTTACACTCGCGTTTGTAACTTCGGGCTTTTCAAGTTATAATTCACTCATGGCTCATCAATTTTGAGAAATATACCCCTACAGAAGCCATCAAGGTCTATTTTCCATTCATGCCGTACAAGTTTTTCAATGAAACAGTGTGTGCAAATGTTAGATACCAACTTCTGCATCATACAAAGGTCATGCCCCTGGCATCGTTGATAAGGTAGTCAAGATAACTTCTATGCAATTATATCTTAGGCAAGTTATCTATATAACTTATCTCAACACATTAGTAGAATTCAAATTCATTAAGCCAGTAATTTATATACTGGTATTACTAGAAATATTAAAACATAACTTGAATCATGTTGTTACTCAAAGCTTCGTACTATGCTTATGTTGTATTGAACACTATTTTAACAATGAATTTTTATTATTATCGTTATAAATTACTTTATATATATTTAAGTTGAGGTTGATCAAGTGGATTATAGTACCTACATTGTAATAGAACACGGAAAGGTAGATCATATGATTCAGTATTCCCGAGTTCTGACCGGTTCCCCCAGGTTTACAGTTGAGATAACAATAAAGTTGAAGGCCTAAACAGAGTAAAATCGATCAAGGTTTGTCATTTTATAAGTGCTCATATTGCACTTGAAATTTTTACATGAATTAAAAAGATAGCGCGTTTAAAGATAAATACCCACATATTGATTCATTTAGATTTTAGTACAGTAGGGGTAATACATTAATTTATAGTCCTTTAAAAAATTGTCTACTGAGCTGAAAGACCTTGATTTCAAGTACTCCCGGCACTTGTGAGAATACTGGGTTATTATGATAGTCTACATTTGCATGTCTAAATACGAAAGGATGTAAATACTTGTACCGCATCTTCCGCCCATTTGGTTGAATTATAGCTCATGTTTACAACATAAAGCTTAAAAAATGAACCCAACAACTCCATATACATATTACAAATGGTGTTTCTGTCTAACTAGTTTATATAACACATTTTTCAACTTAGTTTTCTAACTTAGGTCTGGTTACCCAACCAAATAATTAAAGAGTTTCTACAATACTTAATTAATTAATGATAAAAAAACGCATATATTCAAATTATGACGTCACTACCTGAATTGACACATGGTATTTGCGAGAGTGATGTCATACGCTGGTTAAAGATTACATTGCAGGGAACCATAGACGTCGGACGACCAACCTTAGTTGTTCACATAGAACCTATATATGAATCCCCATAGACTAGAAAATTGCTTTCGGCCTCTTTAGAGGAATAGGCTACTACCTCCAAGAATGGACATAAAAAGTCCAAAACTTAGTCAACAAGTGTACATATTCGTTAGTTGGATTTGCCAGTTGCCATGACTAAACAATAGAATCTCTATATAAGACAATATATCCATTAAACTAAATAATTATTGAAACACGCTTCTAAGCAGTCTTAAAAATTACTTATAGTTTAATTAATTATAACTTAGTTTTATTGATTTATTGGGTAATAGAGAACTGTGGTATGTTTTTGGCACCAGGTAAGACCACTGATGATTAAAAACCCATTTTGACCAAGTTAAAAAAATTCTTATCAATGAATTCAATTCAATTAAATTAAGCGTTTTTCAATAGTTAATTGCATATTTATGGATAATTACAAGACATTTGGATTTATCGGATTATATAAAGATCCTGTTATGTTATTTATGACACCAGGCATATCTACTGGCTCTTATTCGCCCAGTTTAAAATTTTATGTTAATTCTAAGACGTTGTATCACTTGAAATGAAACTTAAGAAAATGCGAATCGTCTATATACATTGTCAGCTCTTGGGGGTCAATTGCACTTATTTGCATTAATCGTATATTTAACTTAACCAGTAACCACTTTTAAAGTTAAAGGCGTCAGCCATTACTCGTTACGACTCTTTTATAGTGTTGTTAATAATGCAAATAGGGTTTACATGCAGGTACAGATTATTGTATGCAGGTTGTAAAAATCTACGTTGGTAAAAAATATAGATGGATTTCTCCCTGGGGCGACGACATTAAAAGAATCTAAAGACACAATATATGTGTACATGTCATTATGCTCTGATGATAAATAAGTGCAGCTAGGCCTTGATCTATTTCTTAGTTTAAGTAAACTAAGCTTTATACTTACTTAATAGGGCTTAATCAGTAATAGTGTTCACAGATAACGGTCGAAATTTGAGCCTTCAAGAAATATCTAATTATTAGTTAAAATGACGACTCGCCTTTTCTTGATACTCCACAATATATTGTATATGTATATAAAAATAAAATTATATATAAGTTGAATTTCTAGTTTTTAGTACATTTGAAAGAATCATGCGATTTTCGTGCATTTCTAGTACTTCTGAAAATTGTTTACATATATTCAAGACTCACATACATCCCGCAAAACAAACTTTTATATACCTGCATGTAGTGGATAGTATATCACAGCAATATCATCATGTGGGAATGTTAACGGGCGGGATATATAGACCGTTATAATTTATACAGGACATTTCTACTGTAGTGATTAGAATTTCCATGCTAAAAAATGATCCAGATAGCTGAGTTCTATCAGCTAGTGAAACAATTTACTATTTAAATGTAAGTTTACTTCGCATTGATTTAGTCATAAAGTTGATTCCACAAGAATATACACACACAGCATTTCCTATTGTATTATGGACCTTGCCGACAAGACATGACAATATTCAGACAGGGGAGAAACCAATGAAGTTATATTTGAGGTATATTTGAAAGTTATGCAGTATTCGTAAAGTTCTAGCACGTCTGAAGACTAATTACATATCAGTTCAAATCCCAAAGCAACCCCTCAAAATGCAGTCTGTTGTACTTTAATGGATATACAAAGTGCCGACTCGCAGATTAAGTTGAAATTTGTCAAAAAAGACGTTGCCTTTTTGAGGTATTTTAATGTCAATTACAAAAGCTTATTAATTGCATTTGAGCCATACTATTGAGTAATGAGCAGCCTGCCCCGACTGACTCTTTTGGAACAGTCTGCTACTGTTGTTTTTTTACCTCAGAATATCCAGTAGTCCAAAGATCTCATTTCTGTTTATTTTGTATATTTCTACTTTAACTAATATTCATAAATATCTAAAATCAACAATAAATCATTCACACCTAATATGTAATCCATTCTGTAAATAAGAGTTTCTGCAAATTGTTTAAAGGGGTAGATTACAAGCTTATAGAGCTCGACTTAAGCTATCTATACAACTTTATATTACCAAAGTGGGAGACCCTGTTAAATTGCAGCAGAACTTGGTGTCATATTTTAATCCTGTTTAAAAAATGTATGGATAGCTGAAATTGACATTACACATAAAGAAAATATATTGACAAGTACATTAATGGTTTCTTAAACTGTTTCATCTTGTAGAACTTACTGTCTTGAAACAACAGGTTTCATAAAAGTTTTGCTTACCCATGTATCATATTTACATATTTTTACATAATATATAAGCTTATGCGAATCAAGCAATTTAATCTTAAAAAATATCATTGTTTTTATTTCACTGCTTCCACTTAATGCTTGAATTCCTCAAAGCATCTGATGAATATAAATGTTCTTGTGTTCCATGTTTTAATTTAGAAGAATATGATTCTAATTGACCTCTATCTCTAAGTGCCACAAACACATCAATGACAGCTTTATGACAATGATATTTCTGTGCAGTTTCTAATCTTAAGTCCATATCATCAATAAAAGCTATGTATATTTTTAACATCTCTGAAGGTGCATTGTTTTTGTGTAATATTTCAACAACCTTATCAAATCCTATAGCCGATTTCATCTTGGTACTGCCAAACCAACCCTTAGATGTTAACAGTTCTTCAATGTTTTTCCAATTTTTAAGTTTGGATTGAGCTGCGATGGCACTAAAGAGAAACTGTTTATCACTCAATTGATGTCTTTTCTTTATAGCTATGGGACTAGCCAAGGAATTCTCAGCTAAGTTATAATGATATAAACAGCAATAATATAAAGTAGTTATTAATGGCATGTCTAAAATGGATCGTCTTCTTGGAAAATCTCGGAATAACTGATTTCTTCCACTAACTTCCTCTTTGGAGTCTGATTCCTCTATAGGCAGCTGCCTCTCTAATAAATCTATATGTTCCATTACTAAACTAGATTCTGATGATAGCAGTGGATCCATTTTAAAATGATTTCTATAGACACTTTTAAGTGCACTAGCCTTTGAAGATCCTAAACTAGCACCTGTTGCTGTTTTATATTGTAACATTGCAGCTTCTTCTGATCTTCTCAACATAGTTAAGACATTAGATAGTTCTATATAGTCACCATTAGTTCTTAAATAAGTTAAATAATGATTGATAGCCACCGGGCGTTTAGATATTTCCTGATTAAATAAACTGACTTTCACTGTGCTTTTCAAGAATAAAATTGCAGCGATGATACAGTTACCATCATGCATCTTAATCGAATGATCCAATAATGATATCTTATCTTCTAGAGAGCGGTATAGTTCAAAGGTATACGCTTCTCCTTTCATCATTCGTTTAATCGTATCCTCAACTGGGAGCTTTGAGAATCTATCACGCTTAGCACGCAGATTAGTTCTACGTAAATACTGCACTTCGGCTTGTAACTTCTCAATATCACCTGCTGTGAGCTCCTTCTTAAGTCGGTGTTTATCAACAGCATCATCAATACTCAACAAGTCACTAGAAGTACTAGAACCAAAACTAACACTTGACTTCCACGAGCTTCCCACACCTCCCAGTCGGACACTTGGTTTAGAATCTGTCCTGGGCATGGATGGCACCCCTAAACTATCAAGATCTGGTTTGGCAGTATTTCTTGACTTCCCTGAAACTGGTACATCATTCCATCCAATTACTTCAATGCCTTCATTTCTCAAAAAATCATCCTCTTCATCTGTCAAGTCATTCAATATCATTTTCTTGGCCTCATCAAAGCTGACATCGTCATCAAAGATATTTTTTGTTTTACGTCTATGAGACGACTCGCCATCATCAATGTCATCCATAGTTCTTCAACAATTAGTTTTATTCGTACAAAATTCTTTTTTTTTTTAACACAAATTACAAAATGTTGTTACATTTACTCGCCATAACAGGAAGTTACTCGCTTAAACAAGATACACAATAATAACGTACACATAATAATAGAGGTAAAAGCTAGTAGTACGACATGTACGTTGATATAATAAATATTGTACATTATTAGTATCACATTTTTTGAAGGGGTGTTACGCCTTTACCCTTACCTTTTTTTTACCCTTTTCATTCATGAACGTACAGATGTGGTCTCTAGCTCATATTGCTTACTTTAAATTCAGGGACTACTATGAATTAAGTAACGAGGATTTCATTGACGGGGAGCTCCCGTCCCAGGAAATGTTTCTTATCCAGGAAGGTGCCGTGTCAAATCCCAAATCCCTCGCTCTGTTCTGGTAACAAGGCAAATTGGTCGCATAAAATTTACCACAATTTGGTTTCATCGATGTTGGCTTATCAAATTAATCTTATAATGGACAAAAACACAATTAAAGAATAATGAAGTACCGGTATTAATTAATGCCAAGCTTGATCGATTTTAACTCACTATCTCTTATCGGTTTCTATTGTAAATGTTCGATGCTAGATAACTGTCCATCTGTTAACAAGGTTTTTATCATGTAAATTGTGTGTGGAAAACGTTAAAAGGTGACATGGAGTAACACTTTTCATGTCAGGAGTTTTCATAAAGTAGGCAATGACCATAACACATAGCTTTATATGCAGCTGACTAAATACCAGGGATTAAAAATTTAATAAAAAATATTATAACTTCATAATCATTAGCTTCATGGAACAACTATTTTAAGTGAAGATGGTTAGCAGAATGGAACCATTTAATTAAACATGAATTTGGGATGCAAGCAAAACGTTTTAATGTATTACATTGACATTTTATAATAAAAAAGCACTCCACCATACATCTAGGCAATAATTCTCACATTGAGAGAGCCTGTGTCTGTCGTTTTCTATAGAATTGATGATACTCTGAACACTTTTTAATTAAATAAAATGGTCGGTGTTTCCTATCTTGTAGAATAAAGCATTCCTCTTTAAAACTATTAGACAAATTAAATATATATCACCAAAATAAAGGCCCATTTACACATCATTTGCTATGCTGCAAGTTCAAATATTGAAATCTGACTCTCATTTCTAGTCAGTTGTGCTAATGAGGATTTAATATCTGAAACAGGACTGGAAGCAGGACACAATTTCTTTTCAATTTTCAGATCTACATTGCAATATATATATATAGATATGTACCAAGTTTATTATTATATGTATAAAAGTGGAGAACTGGTCGCTGAAAAATTGCAGTTGCCACCAGGTTTTCCTAGCAAAAAGGGGGCTTTATCGCTTGCGGTCAGAATCTGCAACCGTAAAGTTGGTCGTAGATGCTTTTCCCATCATGTCGACTTCGATAGCTTCAATAGGATGCTTGAACGAGGAAATGCTCACAGGACGACTATTCAGATGACGAGTTCCTTTTAAAATCCAGAAGTGAGCCTTAAATAATGTTAGATAGTATAGTATAATTATTGATTTTCTGAGCTTATGAGAGAAAAGAGTTGAAATCACAATAACGCCCACTATCAATACTCGACATTAACTCAATTTCAAACCCATTTTCTTCATCACACACTCGGCATCAGTCAAATTGATTTTCCTAAAATAAATTGTGTACTGACACTCTTTCTAGGACTTGGTGCTAAAAATATAATGATGTCTTGTTCGTGTTATTGCTATTTATTGCGCCCAGGGATCTCGTTAGTTCCGGCATAAAATGCTCAATAGACACGTATATGGATCATGCGAAAATTCAGAATGACGCGTAGTTTCGTATGGTATCATTTTCATTTGCAGTCAAAAGCGCAATAGTTTTTCAAAGCTTTAAATATGTTCAATGATAATCTGCACATGATATGGTCACAGCATGACAAGAGGGAAGAATGGATAGTCCCGGACTTTTAAGATGTGATTATAAAGAGGAATCAAAAGCTACATTGTAGTTCATGTAAGTGCACTTACACAAGCACTTATTTGCACTTTCCCGATAAAATTATATGGTTCGTGTTACTTTAAACGTGTAATTTCAGTATTATTTCGAATAGATTAGACATACATTATTATGTTCAGATATCTTTAAAGAATTTCTTGAATGGCCTACATGTCACATCTCATTAAATAAAGACCATAATATTGACATTTTAAGAAAAGTAAAGGTGAAAGTCCAAGCGACAAATTATCCCATAACAAAGTTCACTTTAGAAAAATGAAAACCGGCACGTTTCTTCTAAAGCGACGTTTTATTAACCAATTGATCTATTTTGACGTAAACGCTTATATTGTTATAAATTATTTTCTAATCTAATCCACTGATTGATTTCATTTCTGAATAGGCAGTCCCAAAAATTTTTACAAAACATCAAAGAATTTTAAGGTCATGGTTCGCCATTTTTCAAGGGTTGATTTGGGTCTCCAATATACATTAATAGTCTTCAAAACTACAACTGCACGAATATCGCATAAACCCTTTCTAATAATATACTTTCATTTTCTTTTATGTCTCTTCCATAGTATCAAGAAAAGATGAGTCGTCATTGAAACTTCCAAACGCGCGGATAAATCTGTACGTGGATTTTAAGGCTAGAATTTCGACGATCAGCTGTGAACACTATTGGCTGAAAAATCCCTCTTCTGAGACTATAAGATACGATTGGTGAAAATGTTGGCGAATCTTTAAAGAAATGTGTCACCAAATACCTTTACAGACAACAATCCTTGTTCCTATATTTTACGTGGCTTGTTCGTACAGTTAGATGGGATTAGTTTTTTAAATTTTTTCTGGGTTTGTCCTTAAAGGACAGAATTGCCATTCGTTTGACCAATTGTGCTTTAGTCTCAGAAACGGGAATTTATTAGTTAAACTAATCAGTAATAGTGTTCACAGCTCACTGGTGAAATTTGAGCCTTCAAATCCATGTGTGTCCAGAATTACCTGCGCTTGAATGTAAAAATGGCGACTCAGCCATATATAGAAATTCCTAGTTAGAGGTATTTTTGAAGGAATTATACGATTTTTCTACATTTCTAGTACTTCTGAAACTGACGAACCAGGCCCTTTAAGACAAAAAACAATTTGACCAAGTTTAAATGTCTTATTTGTACCTATTCTAAATCTCAGGGAACCATGTATGCTATATTACTATATTAAATAGATTTTGATTAATTTTAAAAACTATGCATAACTGAATTTATGAAAAATAAACAAAAATAATATCAATTACTTAAAATTTATCATTTCTTCACAAAGCACAAAATATAAGTTTCAACATTGCACTTCATTGTAAATACATACAATAATTGAAAACAAATGATGATAGAGTTCCATGTGCTATTTGGGACAAACCTTTGCCACCAATTTACATATGTCACTTTTACTACAAAACCAAAATGCCTTACTCCAACACAGCAGAAAATTTTATGGCAGTGTAAACTACTGGATTCTAGTTTATTACTTACATGTATATCTTGTAACAAGGGTAATAACTAACAAATCATTTATGAAAAGGTAATAATACTAGACCACACTAATATACACATACATACCAAATTTCATCCAAATCACACCAAAACTGTAGGCTTTTATGTGTTATCAAGCTAATATGAACATATTTTCAATAATTATAAAATTTTATAAAATAATAAATTCTTGACACAATTGTGATCAAAATGAAACAGCTGAGGTTAATCAACTTGTACAAAAGTATCTATACAGGTCAAACTTATCTTTTTAACCCTTTGAACGCTGTAGTAAATATGTAAATGAAATAAAATATTATATACCCTGAACTCCAAATAATATAACTTGCTCGGGTTCAAGGGTTAAGGTAAACGCCCCAAAAGAAATCCAAGACATAAATGCACTAGTGGAATAAGTAACGAACAAACAGTTCTACGATTTTGGTTTAGGAGAGAAGAAGCTAGCTAAACTTTTCATTCCTGATTTGTCCACTTTTTCTAATTTTTTCTGAGCATTAGAAAGTTTCTTAGATAGAGTAGTTTTCTTTTTATCTTTATTCTGTTTAGAATAATCTTCTAATGGCTTTATTTCTTCTAGCTTGACTCTCTGTAAGAAAATCCAGGTAAATTTTAGTCCATGCGATCCCTAAAAATCCTGATATATGTTTTGACAATTATCTATCCAAGAACTTGTTGGACTTGATCGATGACCTTGGGGACAATCTTGTATATTATGAACTCTGTTAAATTAAATGTTAACCCAATCAAAAAGAGGCATCAGGTGTTCCAGAAAGTGACTATTCCATGCCCTCTCTCACAAGCAAACCTAAATTTGAAATAATATATTCTGAAATAGGTCACAGGCTTAACCTAGAATGATTGTACAGTATTAGGTAATAATGACAAAAAATACCTTTGCTGGAGGTTCTTCTGTTGAATTACTGGTCTTTGGTTTTTCTTCTACCTCTGGAATTCTGTAATATTTGAACAAATTTTGGGTTAGTTTTCAATTCAAATTTTCAAAACAATAAAGGGATATGGATATAATTGTCAACAGGGGAAGTTATATGTGTCATTTATCAGAATGAAAATCTGACTTCTGGTTTGTTTGCAAGTTAAGAATAAAGTGAAAGCGAAAGTGACAAAAGCCTACGTTCACCACGTGTTATTAGTATAAAAACAAATGTTAATACATTACTTACCCTAAATATTGATGTAACTGTTTACTGAGAGTTAAAGGGAGATAATCAGATATTATACCATAAGAATACTTAACAAAAACATCTGAAAAATGAACACTTTTATTAATCAATAGAAAGAACTCAAGAACGGTCTATATCATTTTGTTAAATCCATCTTTTTAAAACTCTGTGTCAAAAGCAGCAAGATTTCAAAGTATTTCACTATTCACTCCAATCTAAACTATTGTTAACAATTACAATTTATGGCTCAATTAAATCTGTGAATAGCTATTAATGTTCAATGTGATCCCTTAAAACAGCTTACCTCTTTCTATATTTTCTTCTTTTTTAGATTTTACAAAATTAGAACTCTGTGATGTATTAACATGAAGTTCTTTTTTTATGATATGATCTGTTAAAATGTCTACCTGGAAACAATATTTTAACTACATTAAGTAACTTAACTTCCTCATCTGTCAAAATCGGATAATGCTTTCATCTTTCTTTCTCCAAAATTGAATGATAGATTTTTGTTATTGAATTCAGAATAGTTTGCCATATTTTTCTGCAACTGTTTTGGCTACTGAGAAGGGGTAACGTGCTGTAGTGTACAATTTGGTAAATTTTGCCACGACAACTGCATTAAACTGTAATTTTTTCGATTTTCAACCGAAACTGCTGAAACTTTGAGTACTCTGACATTCTCGCTAATCCAACATTGTCTTGCGGTCCCAGTATATCGAATTACACAGAGTACCCGGTATATTGTATTTAGGAATCTTTAATACTCATGATGTAGCACACAGGACCTTGGTTTATTCAAACGACTGAACACTTTTCCATGTCAGCCCCTCCGACCTGCATCACTCCAAAAATCCAAATGTATTATCTTTTCTCAATCACTGAATAAATCATCAAGCAAAAAATCAAGTTTCTAAACTAGCTTTGCCCAGATTTTTTTTCATTTATACTCAAAATGACGATTTGGCATAAAGTCATATTTATCACCTTACTTTAGCTTTTAACCATGACATTGTTTTCTCTTCATTATATCTATAAGCTTTGAAATCATCATCACCTTAAAGTACAATAAGATAAATTCATGTAAATATCTTTACTATTATTGGAAACCATAATCAAAATATCCAAACAAAAACAATCCGTGATACAAGATGAAGATAATAAACTTTGTTGTATCAAATTGGTTTATCTTGAATTTTAAAAAAGTCACAAATCAAATAAGTAATTATAGAATGCTTAAATTTATAAAAGCTGAGTTTTATTTCATAAGCTTGCTCAGAAAAATATTTTTTGCTGACAGTTTCCACCAATAAAGTCGACCAACTTTTCATTTATAACACAACTAGCAAAATGTAATTTACGGAAGGTATGATTTTAAATATTCTGCACTGGAGGATTGCCGTTACTATGATATTGCAGGTGATTTTGTAGCGATAACTCAGGAACCGGATGAGATATCGAAAGGAAAATAACTACATTATTTTTGTAAAAGGTCTATCTAACTCTATTATTCATAAAATGGACTTTGCACTTCCCCTAGTCATCTTAGTCTTCCACTAGTTACCTTTTATATCAGCTACTTGATGTAATTCTTCTAAACCTTGACACTCTTGTAACCTTCGACATTCTGAAAATTTCTCATCAACCACAATCTGATCTAATGTCATAAACTTAGAACACTGAAATAAATAAAATTTTCACTTGCATGTTAAATTGTTTATAATGTCTTCCAGTCCATAGATATGTAAAGTTTGATTTTTCGCATCTAAAAAAAAACAAAACGATTCCCTTCCAGGGATTACTGCTGAAAATAGCCCATTTTTTGATGAAATTACTTTGTACTGAAATTTTTCAAAAAAATGATTTTTCCAATGCTTTTTCAATAATAATCATAACTAAAACAATCTTAATACTATTTTGAACTTAGTTAATAAGTAATACTGTACCTTATCTTTTTGTATGAGATATGGTAAGACTAAAAAGACTGGATCTACAGGACTTGTTATAACAATTCCACCATCTGAAACAAGATTAAAATCAATCAAATCATATGATTCTAGTCATATTCAATTACAAGTCATAAATTACCAAAATGTGCAGGATGGATGGAAAATTCAGGACAAAAACAGTGCTCCCATTTCAAACTGTTTTCAAAACAAGAGCCAAAAGTGAAAGCAAGACATTTCAAACAATATGTTTATTTCTATTACAAAATACAATGTATGGGTTTACAAAGGAATTCTAATATTTACCTTGTTGTACAGTTTGATCTATTAACCAAGATCGAAATTCTTCTTTATATTTTATAACCTCATATATATCTTTACCATCAGGTGAAAACAGGTAGTATGAGCCTTCATCTAAAATATTCTATCATAAACTAAGGTCCTTCCTTATAATAAATCAACTTCTAGGCATCAAAGCAAGGTATAGATTCTAAGATTAAGCTTATAGACCTATGTATATGTGGCACTATGCACATGACATTAGAATATATATTACTGCTTTTTAATTACTGATCATCAAAACCAAGGAAACTTTGTAAACTCAGCAAACTCAAATTTGAGTGTAATACTAATCCAACATATAAATATTCTGTACATACCTGTTTTGGGGTGCCTTAATTGACAAATAATTGGTTTGTTTTCATTGTCTCCATTAAACTCTAAAACTTTATCTGAAAAAATAATTTTTTAAAAGACTGGTAAGTGATTGCATTAAAGTTGCAAATGAAGTATAAATTTTTCTGTCAGTTTCGTAATGTTGTGATGCAGAAATAAAGTAGAAGTCTATGCAAGGCTTGTGTAGATTTGTATCATATTGATAGACTGAAAGTATGCAAGGGTTCATTTAAATGGTAAAAAGAGTCACGAGTTGCATATATTACTTTCTCTTTTCATTTGCAATAGCTGCATGATGATCATTAAAAATGACATAATACATAACATAATATGAGAAGTGGAAGAAGTGCTAAATTCTACTTTCAATTTATCAATTCTGACAAAAAACAAATACAAAGACTTCGAGGTCTTAGTATCCTTTTACCGTTAACAATAAAGACCCATTGGGCTTGGTCAGGGTCTGGAGTTAACTTGGAAACCGACTGTCTTGAGGCCGGGCGTTTTGGCATCGTGGCAAATCCCACTTTTACACACAAAAATACAGGCGAGACAGGTATCTTATGTTTACAAAATAGAATATGGCGGGAATTAATTATTTTGGGAACGGATTAGCTGTTGGAATTTGCACTTTCTGTACAACTTTTAGGCTTTTTAAAAATAATTACTATAATGTTTATTGCAAGGTATCAGATAATAACTTTTGTTTGATTCTATTTTTCTTGATTTGAAACAAACTGTCAATTGTTATTTTTCCGTGAAATGAGAAATACTTTGCCATAGTCCGATTTGAATCCAATAATTATTACACCATGTTCCAAGATGTCTGCGCCCATGAATGTCCTGAGCAAAGAACAACAAAATCAAAGTCTTAGAGCAAAAAATGATGATAAAAAGAAAAAGAAGTCTTCGGGTTCAAGCAAAAATGTCCTACATAGCCCTTTCAATGATTCATGGTGATTGTCATACTCTCTGTCTTTGCATTGGGCTAAGGAATTGAGAAAGAGAGACAAAAAGACAAAAAAAGGGGTGGCGGCGGAGTTCATTTGCTAATTAAATGTAGTTCTATTGGATTATTTAGAGAACAACTGTTTGTATGATGATGGCACAATATTATTATTATTAAAGCAAACTGTTATAGACTAGGTTAATCATATTTTGGAAAACTCGGTTCACCTACCCTTACTTTAGTAAAACGGATGTACCATTTCATTTGTTTATAGGCCATATATTCCTGAGGAACTGGAAGTAAAGATATTCTCCATGTTAAAAGAGTAAGTAGAAAAAGATACTAGAGGTTAATTTGTAAAATGTTTTAGTGCTTGTAAGTGATTTTTCTTCTTTACCATCATTAATTGCGCATTCTGATTCTATGCCCAGTTATTCAATTACCGAAAGAATTTTCATGGTTGTCAATGGTCAATACCTGATTATCAAGTTTGTGGTTACATATAAACTATATCAGAGACTATTGAGAGTCAAAAAATTGAAAGTCTTGTAAGGTTGTGCACATATTACTGTGGCAGGGTGCATTTTTATAAAAATCTGGTTGTTTTATTTAATTGTTGTTTTATCTTAATGCACCACTACTGTTTTAATGAGCACATAATTACCTTACACTGGCCTAATACTAAAGTCTTAATTATTGCCCTCTCTTAGTTTCTTAACTTAACTGATCTCACCTGACCTTGCCACCTTTTGGATTGGCCAGCTTAGTGAGCTTTCAGTGAGTTTCATCACCTATCCAGTCAGAAACTTTACTTTTATCTAAGTCCTTGAAGTATCCTGTTTCACCATTTAGTTATTTTCTTTAAATAACTTCACAGTTCACAGGTTTTGGTACTGAGTTTAGTTTAGTTATATACTGTAAATGTCAATATCAACTTAAAACCCCATCTTAAGGGGTTTTTATTAAAGTTTATGAACTGATAAAGATAGTTTTGATATCATCTGAGTTAGTCCCCCCCCCCCTGAGCTAGCCCGGCTACATTACACTATTGGTCATATGCAATGATCATTACCATCTGTCATAAAACTCAGTTCATTTTTACTTTTGTAGATCATTTCCACTAAGGTTAGTTCAGAAATTCTGTAGTAATAAGGAAAGAAAGATGTTTACTAAACAACAAAAAGAGAATAAGCTCTCAGATGAACAGAATGAAGAGTTGAAAACCAGAAAACAAATCAGGTAAAAAAAAAAGAACATATATAGACAACAACTGTCTTTATATCTCCTAAATGGTAGTCAATTTTATCTGCAATCCACATTTAAAGTGAGCCAGTTCTGGGTGTTTCTTCAATATATGTAGGACAGATTTTAATGAGTCGTCTCATATTATAAACTAAATTAGTCTGTGGCATTTCTAGGAAACATCAGGGCCGGTAGGGACCAAAAAATTTTTCCAGGGGGTCACATGCCTTTCCCTATGTAAAATGATAATAAAATTTGAAAGAAACACCATTGATTCGTCTAGGAACTGACAGTGTAAGGATATTGCTAACTTTGTATTTCATGGTAAATACGCTTCTGCAAATAATTGCATCTGTATGAAAAATGGTAGTTCAGGAAAGATATGAAGGGATAAGAAGAGCTTTATTGTTGCTTTTGGTAATTTTGTCCATCTACATGCTTATGACTTTCAGATCAGAGTTAGCTTTAGGTATTAACTGTGTGACTAAAGCCCTAGAGAAAGATGAGTTAAGATTGGTAATAATAACTAGAGAGTCTAAAGTTTGTGTACTAGTCAATCATATATTACCATTAGTCACTGTTAGACAATGTCCAGCAATACGATTACCTAATCTCAGTGAGAATATGTACAATATACTTGGCCTTCAATCTCTTGCTGCTCTTGGATTCAAGGTATTTATTTTATTTCATTTCATTTCCACTTACAGCTCCAAAAAAAATAAAACGATGCCACAAAAGAAAATGAAATATGTCTAGAATATAAACAGAAGAACAATGTCTTGTGGAAAAAAAAGAAAATGCCTTGAAAAAGAACACTATCTTGAAAGTAGACAATGTCTTTAAAGAAATGACACTGACTTGAAAAAAAGGGACTTATAAATGTCTTATAAATGGACAATATCTTGGGAGAAAAAATGCTATCTTGAGAAAAGGCATTAAAAACAGTCTTAAAAGAGGGCAAAGTCTTAAAAAAGCCAATTTACAATATCTTATCAAAGTCATATTAGAAACAGGTCACTAATAGGTTGAATACAAGTTTGATCTCAACTGTAATACATGGTTGATCAATTTCCTTTTCAGAAAACAAAAGAAAAGTCTATGTTTGAAGATTTTGTTCATATGGTGATAGAAACAGCTCCATCTATTAAGTCGTCATGGTTACAAGAACCAGAAATCAAATCTGAAATTAGTACAAAGGATATGGAAATTGAAACGACACCAGAGGAAGTTAATCTAAGTGCCACAATAAAATCTGTAATACCAGAAAAATCCCTAAACCCAGAAACATCACATAAAGCTGCACCTGTGTTCAAAAAAGACTATTCCTATTTATATGTGTATAAAAAAGACCAAAAACTTGGTGATGACTTTATATCTTTGAGTAGTAATACAAAAACAGATGAGGACTATTTTCCCACAGAACCTAAGAAATCTAAAAGTGAGCAAACTGGTTTGGTTTCTATGAAATATAAAGGTGTTAATGTTCAAGCTATGAAGAAAAATGAAAAGCGTAAAAAGAAAAAGAAATGTGCTGTATAATAAATATGTATATTTATTTAGTTGTTTTGGAGAGGCCTGTGTAAAACACGTTGCTTGCTTCAGTGCAAATGTCAAAAAAATTTAAAAAGAAGTGTTTTAATATTTAATTAGAAACATATTCTTTACATATCACAAGTTTTTTGGTAACATGGAGGTAAAAATATAATGACTAGCAAAGAATCAACAGTACAAAATATTTCATTCATTTGTCTACACAAAAATTACAAAATATTCATTCATAGAACAATTACAAAATATTCATTCATAGAAACAATTACAGAAAACATTCAAACCAACAATAACAAAATATTCATTCAAAACAATTACAAAATACCATTCATTCATACCAACAATTACAAAATATTTACATTCATACCAAACATTACAAAATATTCATTCATACCAACAGTTACAAAATATTCATCCATACCTACAATAATAAAATATTCATTCATTCATACCGACAATTACAAAATAATTCCCTAAATTGAAGCAAAACAATTCATAACACATTCATTTTTATCAACAGTGACAAAAATTTCATTCATTTTTCGCAGAATATACAGAACAATTTCATTCATTTCTTCAATCATTCAAACACACAGCCAATTTCAGATATTAACAATAGCATTCATACCAGATATTACAAATAACTTTATTAGATTAAATCAACAATGACAAAAAAATTCCTTCATTTTTATCAGCATTTACAGAACAATTTCATTCATTTCTTCAATCATTCAAACACACAGCCAATTTCAGATATTAACAATAGCATTCATACCAGATATTACAAAGCACTTTATTAGATTTTATGAAAAATTACTATTCATTATTATGAATAATTACTAATACAATGAATTTATTCTTAGCAACAGTTTGTTAGTCTATTAAAGTGGATTGTGAGCAACATATTTTCAAGAGAATAATTAACTGACCATACTAATTGTAATTTATATATATATATATGAGGTTTATTCAATGTTTATCAAGAATTTTTGCAAATTATTTTCTAATGTTGGTGAAAATATGATGTACTGTTTTATGTTGCATTCTTTCCTTCATTATTTTGAAATTATGAAAATTTTCAATAATCGTTTGATACAAATCTGTCCATCTGTCAGAAAACCATCGGCAGTGAAAGGTCTATTGGCTTTATGGACACACTTGGTTTTCCTTTTTAATTAACAGTTAAGATTATGTATGAAGCAGAATCAAACAGTGCTTTTAAGTTTAAGAATGAGTTTCTCTGCCTACAATTAAAGATCATGAAATCTTTCTAAAATCTTAATTTAGGACAGTGATCTCCATTTTTTGCCTCCATAATTTCTAAATTTTGATGGCACCTATTTTTTATTTTATTTATGTCAAGAACCACAGTCTGGATGCACTGCAGTGTATAATGAGGGAAATCAATCCAAAAATGAAGCATTAGTACCAGTATACACTTTATGGGATGTTGACCCATATGTTTAATGTCTAACCCAAACAACATTCAATGCATTTGACCGTCATGTATCAAGGGGTGGCCAAGTTAATAAGATTTAAAAAACTTATCAGCAGCAAACTTTGTGAACAAGCCTCCCTTACCATCAGAAACATGATTGTTGGACAGACCAGACTATAATAGGTCATGGTTAAAGCAATAATCTCAAGGACTGATAAGCCAAACCTTTATCTCTTACACAATGGTGTTGGGTTTAAGAATGAATGTTATGTGTTGTGATAAGAAATTTATTTCATCTGAACTCCTGGCAATTGACTAATATAAAACCCCTTTTTGATGATCCAACGATCCCTTTTTAAGATAATTTCCTTGTCTGAACTCAATGTCATGGTAGAATTTTGTAAAAATTTGAATCTAAGTTAATAATTTATTTAGAATTTTGATATTCAACAATATTTACAGTAAACATATCATGAAATGTACAATTTTTATTTTTTTCAATTGATGTAATGAAGCATGGGACAAAGCAACACTGATGAGTTCAATTACCTCCCTTGAACAATAAACTGAATCACATTTGCTTTGATATGATACTGCTGAAATTTATCAGACTGAGACATATTTTATACATGTACTTATCACCCTGATTCAATTTTGTTATTTATGTGAAGTGTTGAAGCATGTTTTCCTTGAATGCTGCCATTTTTGTTTGGTTTAGCAGACATCTTGTAGGTAAACTGCCTTGTCTATGATGAAGTAACCATCATGAATTATTATAATATAGAGACAATGTTTAAGAATAAATGATATGTATAATGAAAATCTTTTCTATCTTTTTTATGGCCAATGATTAAGTTTCATTAATCTAATGTGTTGGGGATTAGTTACATTTTGCAAAATATGAAATGATGGAGTAACATGTATTGGTTATGTTTTAACTGTATAACTTTTTTCAATCTAATCACAGTTTCTTTAGCAAAATAATCAACTTTTTGAAGCAAATGCCCGAGCAATTCTTTTTAATAACAGATGCATACCCTCCATACACACAATTCATACACAAATATTGTCAAATGTAAACAAATGTCATATTGTTATTGTAAACAAATTCATTGAATATCAATGCAACATACAAGCAAGTTATCCAATAATATTTTTCCATGCATTCCAAGGATTCACACATTCTTATGAGAGAACTTGGCACAATGACATATCACATTAATTGGGAATAATTTATGATTATCACAATTTTAACTAGTCCATATTTGCTATATGTTTCACAGTGTTTTTGAAACAGTCCATCGACATCTTGTATAATCTTTAAACATAAATGTGATGATCTTGATGCCATTTATGGTTTTCGGCCCACTTAACCCCTTTAATCAAAATATCCATAAGATTTGAGAAGGAATTTTCCATGGCTCTATAGATCATAAAAGAAACATATTAAACTGTGGAAATATTCTGTAAGAAGGAATCCAATTAACCGTTTTCCATTTCTGAATCAAGACAAGCAATTGAAAAAGGTCCTCTTCCATTAAAATCCATATTCCATCAGTTTACATATTTCAATAAAACTTTGAAACAGTTATAGCAATATGGTGCACCTGATTCCAGGTAAAGTATGTTCAATCGTGGTACATTTAGGATCATCTGACACCACCAGCTTTTTCCACTTTAATCATAGATTGTTCAAACTGTTCTAACATTTGAACTAAAGTTTTCTTTTTAAATCTGTTAGCCTCATGAATTATTTCTTTCACAAAAGCACACCTCACTTCAATTGAGCCCCGCACTGTGTTCATTAGAGAAAATAACTGTTCATAACCTGAAAATATACAGAATTTGTTGAAATTAAAACCCAACAATTTTCAACGATCAAGAAGATATCTTTAATGTGCACAGTCTGTAGCACAGAGAAATCAGTCATTGTCAAATCTGTGTGAATCAAATGGTACTTTTTTTCTTTTAAGCAAAATGATTTACCAGATGAGCTCATGATTTTGTAGTATTCAAAGCTTATCTCACATTAGTTTTTCAAAAATTTGGTCCTGAAATTGTATTTAAAAAAAATATATAGTAACTTACGTCTGCCTGGCTTTTTGACTTCTTTAAAACAAACATATTTTAATTTATTGTTATATAACCAGATTCCTAGCTCTTTCTTATTGTTCATATCAATATTAGCATTGGGTTTCATATTGTTCACAATCGATGTCTGGCTTTGTTCACTAGTATTATTAGCGTTCACAGGTATCACAGATTCTTCACATCCTCCGTTCACATCATAATCCATCACATGATTGACAGAGTTCACTTTATTCATTGTCTTTGTTTGCTCGTTCACTTCATCATCAGATGAATCAAGCACTATTTCTAATGGACGATCATCTGCAAAAAAGAAAATGGATCATTTTAGTAACGAAATCAAATATAAAATGGCCTGTTTGAAAATCTCTCCATGGTTAGTAATATGACTTTCCTAGCTTTCAGAAGGTTTTTTGGTTAAGCTTATGAGCATAAGCGTACTAGATGAAATGAGGATGTCCCTTTCTTTGCCTTATGATGGGCAACATCAACAACAAATTTGATCTGACCGGACATCAGCATAAGCTTTTTTTTATTGATTTTTATGTTCATTTTCTGAAAGCGAAGTGAATAATCTGAAGGTTCTGTTAACCTTTGCTCCAGCCCCTTATCTCCTACAATTGCTGGTACTTTAACCACAATATAGTCATATAAAACTTTATAATACATACCATCTAAATCTTCAAAGCTGGTATCATTTCCACTATCAGAACTAGTATCTGATCTAGCTGGACTGCTACAAGGTGATATAGATGGTGAGGATGATGGTCTTCTGATAATAACACCTCTTGGTAATGGACCTGTAAAGTATCAAATAACATGGTCAAGTGTACGCAATTGAATAGAGCTTGGATAGAGCTTGGAGAATAACTTTCCAATATAGGAGTTCGTTCAGTTAGCTGAAATAGAGCTTAATCAGCAGTTGAAGCCAATAAAGAGATTTCTAACTTACCTGGTTTACGTTTTCTAGGTCCAGGAGATGATGGTGGTGATTCTGATACAGATCGTTTTAATTTTGGTTGATTATTATTACTGGTACCAAATACTGCTGCCTCATCAGCTTCATCTATCTTCATTTCATTCTATAAATACACCCAATAATAACACATTGTGGGCAAGTATTGCAGAGCGGTATTAAGTAAGTAATTTAATGGGGTGAACAGATTGAAGCAAATCTTCAAGGCATTTGAACTACACAGTGATCAAAAGATAGCACTCAAATATCTAACAATAAATACAATTCAATGCATGTAAATGAAGTAGAGATTTTTCATTTTCGCCAAATTTTGTAACTTACCGATTTAACTTTAAATGGATTACCAAATGTATGAAGTCTAGCTGGAGTGTTCTCTAATTCACGTAATGGTGGAGGTTGTTTACGTAAATATTCCTGATAATTACCCATCTGTTGTACTGGTATACTATGTTGTTGATCTGAATATAGTTAGTAAGCCATGACATTTAATTTTTGCAGTAACATAAAAGTCCTATATGTCAATTGCCTGCATATAAAGTACAAAAGTTTGACAAAAACTTAAGTTTCTAGATAGTATACAACATTCAATATCATAATAATGCCAGATATCATAGCAATGCCAACGTGCAAAGTCTGTCCATTCTACAATATTGTTCTTCTTTCCCAACATAAGACAATATTCTGATCTGTTTAGATGTGACTAGAATGGTAGAGTTATTGTACTATTCAATGTCTTACCTTCATCTACTAATTTAGTATTATTATATGATGTCTGTAAGAAATTAGTTCTCATTCTTTTAACTTGGTCTAATAAATTTTTTCGTGGAATGTCGTATGGATTTCTGAAATACAAACAAATTTCATGCAACATTATAGGACTAGTCATATATATTTTAGGAATTAAGTTAGTCTTAAAATGTAGACAGTAGAACGTTACCATAAGAATTGAACGTGAGAATGTCCATAATAGACAATTTATCAACCCATCGTATCACGAATACGGGTTTTGACATGGTCTTATTAACCTATATTAAACTAAACCCATTACACTTCGTTTTGGGGCCGTGGAAAAGAAAAGATTGGTGGCATTTAAATCTGAACAATCAGATCGGTAGAACAGAAATGAGGTCATGTAAACAAAACACCACCTCTTTGCCACCGCCCGTTTGAAGAGATAAGATTTTCTCTTGGCTTTAATTCCTTAACGAAAATCTTGCTCACTTCTGTACTGTAAGCCTACATATTCATCAAAATATGTAATGACAATCTGCTTTCATTTTGTTTATGTTTGCAAACAAAGCGTCATAACAAGTGATTTGTTTTGATTGGCTGAAATTTGCTACCAATACAATAGGATCAATTTTGATTGGACAATATTTAGCTATGAATACGTAATTTTTCTCACTTGTGTTAACATGGCCCCGAGGAAATATGATGAATGGGGGTGTTGTTTGAACATGATGATATCAACCTTTAATATTTTACATGCAGAATTACTAGAAATTGAGTTTCATTCCAAACACCTATGATGTTAGCCAAAATTCTGCAAATATTCAAATCCCTATGTTTTTTTTTAAAAATGAAATACAGGTAAGTGTTTTACTCTGCTGGCTACAATGGTGGAAAATAGAAAACTACCTTTGTATGGTAGATAAATTATTTATTTACCTATAATATTGTGGTTGTATATCTTTAACAGGTACACCAATAGTAAATGTATTATAATCTTGTAACTCTTGTTTTATACTTGGTACAGCTCCTAAATTCTCTACTAATTCATTGAAATCTTTTCTCTTTAAAAATGATGTCTTTGTCCTGAAATTAAACATAGTTACACTACAATGAGATCATTCTCTTTCAACTCCTAACAATCAAGAGAATTTGATGTGTACAATACATAAGCCTCGATTCATTCCTTATGAATAACAAGACCCTGCGACGTTTATCACTTTCAGCTTGGACTAAAATACAGATTGCATCACGGGTAAGCAAGCTGACTTGGAACTCATTATAAGCTTCATATTACAAATAAGCAATGGTGTGAAGCAAGGTGAACCTTTATCACCCCTGCTCTTTTTACTTTTTATTAATGATCTAGGAAACGTTTTATGTAGCTCTGGTCCTGGTTATGTTAATATTTGTAATACTTTATTGTATCTTTTACTTTTTGCGGATGATACTGCACTTTTTGCCTACACGGCTGTTGCCTTGCAGACTTTACTAAATAAATTCAACCTTTATTGTGCTAAGCGGAACCTCGAAATTAACGTTAATAAATCTAAAATACTTATTTTTCATAAAGGTCGTTTAAATTTTGATTATATATTTACTATAAACTCTGTTTGCTTGGAATTAGTTAGTGAGTATGTATATCTCGGTTTATTATTTTATCAAAATGGTAAATTTGTCCAAGCTGTAAAACTTATTACCTCTCAGGGAAGAAAGGCACTCGGCCGTCTTCTCTCATTATTGAGGCCTTTACATTTAGATATTACGAGCAAGTGCATTTTGTTTCGATCGCTTGTCGTATCAGTTCTAACTTACGCCTGTGAAGTTTGGGGTGCATTGACATGTAAAATTTTAGAACGAGTTCAAAATGATTTTATTCGATATTTATTACATTTGGGCAAGTCTACCCCTCTAGTCGCTGCATTGGGTGAACTTGGGTTCGTTCCACTATATGTTTTGCGTAAGGTTCAAATGATTAAATACTAGTTAAAAGTTGTTGCCTCCAATAATCCTCTTATCCTCAATATATACCAAGTTTTATGTAAGGACGAAGCTAATGGAAAACATAACTGGATTACTGACATCAAAACTATCTTAAATGAATCTGGGTTTTCCTCTGTTTTTCACGATCCAAACTTACTAAATATTAATAAATTTCAAAGTCGAATCGAACATAAGTACGTTCAGTTATGGTTTTCAGAAGTAGATTTATCAAGTAAACTAAGGTACAAACATTTTAAAATCAATTTTAGACTTGAGTCCTACCTTAACTCTAAAGTAGACGACAAATTTAAGTTCTTACTGTGCAAATTTCGCGTTGGTAATCTAAAACTGCAGATTGAAGTCGGTAGGTATAACAAAACTCCGAGAGATAGAAGAACTTGCCCTTGTTGTAAATCTGTCTACATAGAAGACGAGTATCACTTTCTTTTATGCAAAGGAATTCATTAGTAGATTAAGCTTCTTTATATATATATATATTATTTCTATGCTGTGTCTTATTTTTACTTCTTTTGTTAATTTATTGTAATATATGTTGTGTATTGTACATATACTATTTACTTACTTAAAATATCTTGATATGTATTAGGCTATAGCAAGTAGTTGCTTTGCTGAATAAAACAATACAATACCAAAGCAGAAACCTTTATTATTTGATAACTCTCTAAATTATTTGGCTTTCAAGAAACAAATTCAAAGTACTGACCTTGAGCTAACTTTAATGCCTTCATGAACTGGAATTTTCTGACCAACAGAAGCTAAGAGTCTGTCCATTTCAACTTTGGCTTGATTTTTTAATTTTTTGAGGTAGGTAATAACACTGTAGGAAAGACAGTTGTCCATCTGATCAGGCACTAAGTTAGGTGCCCCCATTCTCGCCAGAGCTCTTCTTAAAGGCTGAAAAATCAAGAAATGCTGTTCTTTTATACATTCACTAGTAAACCCATGTGATATTTCAGACATTCATTCTGTGGAATATTAATGAACATATTGCATAGGGAACATTGACAAGTTTCCTTGAAAGTCTATATATTTTCCACCATTGATTCTTTACCAATATGGACTAAAAAGTTTGCTTTGCTTGCAGAACAAGGGAAATAACTCACCCCAGCATAATAACCAGGCATTGTTTTGAGGTAGTTGTCAAATTGTTGCCGCCATTTTGGTGTTGGTTTTAACTTATGGATTTTAAATAAATCATCTGAAATTGAAACTACTGTAGATAAAACTGCAGACAAATTTCACAACAGACGAACTCAATTCATGTCCTACTACACAATGCAGTGCCCAATGAGACAAATTTTGTTTTTCTAATGCCTCAAATTTCCACTTGTTGAGGGATCTGTAGCCTGCCCTACCCATAGGGCTTCTATTGTCCCATGCAAACAACTAGACAATCTATGAGTGCACCATGTCAGTTTACAGACAGAGGGAAGTACTGTTGTAAATTCAAACTAAAGAAGATGAAAGAATCTTACCTAATAAAGGGAGTAATATAGGGTAATTATAAGGCATAACAAATAAATTTACTGTTGTTAGAGCACTACTAGCTTTAATATAACCAAATGGATGATATAAATCATTAAATTTAGCACTATTACTCACATGTACCTATAAAACAAAACAAAAACTTTATTTTATTTCTTTAACAACTGCCCTATCTTACACATATATGGTATAAACCTATCAAAATTTTGGCAGTTGATTACATGACTTGTTAAGACCAAATGGAGCTTTTCCAAACCATTATATTTTGATGCAGATCTAGTAGTCGCTTATTCAACTCTGTTAGTTACCACACTTATTTATAATGTGCATTCACTACAGCAGGAAGCCATATCAATGAACATCTGTCAAATGATCACATGAAACTGTATGTGACAGCAAATTGAGTACTGACCTGCCAGCAGGTATTGGGTTGTCTTCTCTCTAGTATATATTGTGTTAAAGGGGAGGGTTCTAACTCATATTTATCAAAGGGTAAATTATCTATTACCATGGGATCACTTAATGTACAAGAAAACCTCACGTTGGGATGAGCTGTTCTTGGTGGCTGAAATATAGATTCAGAATGGCTTATAAAACAGGAAGCAAAAAAGGTTAATCAAACAATGTAACAGGAAGTCAAAATGTCTGCTTTTCTCTTAAATAAAGGTCTTGCAATGCCATGTGTGTGCAATGAGGGAATTTCTGTCAGAAAGACTTTCTCTTTCTTTTCATATTACAAAATCATGTTAAGAATGAACTTAATTACTAAACTTCTATAATGGTAATGAACTAACAAAACCAAAATCCCTTACCAAATTTGGATTTGTGGCATCAGGCCAAAATGCTTCTGGGATAGGCCAGTGACCTACAGAATAACCTTTCTGTGCCGATCTTGGTACATAGATTAATTTACGGCAAGTATGCCAGGGTGCTGGTTGTGATGAATTTATTAGAGCTTTCTTTTCATCAATATCTTTCTCTATAACTATCTGTTTATTAATATCTTGATTTTCTGTAATCAATAACATAAGACTATGGTATCTTCAATTTTAATTAATTTCTGACATAAATAAAATGATGGTATCTTGATTTAATATAATAACATAAGATTATGATATCTTGATCTAATATCATAAATAAAATAAGATTTGGGTATCTTGAATTTAATTTAATTTTGTATCTTGATTTAATATAAAATGTTCTACAAGAATATATACTGACCTTTGAGATTGCCATTAGCATCAGAATCATTTCGATCATTAATAGAAGGTGGGTCAGGTCCAAACTTCTCAAAATTAATAACAACACCAGTCTGTACTTTCTGTACTAGAGATTCTAATGAGGAATTCAACATTTTTTGATTAAATATTGCATAGGAACGACCTGCAAAATAAAATGAGTTAAGATTGATATCAATAGATCTTGAAATAAAGTGGGTGAATAGGGGTAATCTTATAATAAATGAAAGAGCTTTATGTCTTACTACACCAATGGTGTACAGTCTAGTCCAACTCCAGCACCTATAGAACAAGTATGCACTACACATTATGTAGAATACCATTAAGCAAAATTTATATTACTGTACTTTGATTTAGGGATGTTAACCTGTATTTGGCAATAATGATCCAATTATCTAAAGATAAAACATCATGAAAATCTTGTGTAACAACAAAATAAATACTAACAAATCAACCATTAATTATATTGATGAACACCATTGTCCAGTCTCTTTAACACTTACCTCCAGTGACATCACACATGACATCAATAGGATGAGTTTCGGCAGACGGGATAAAAGGGAAGGAACCAATATCGGACGGAATAGATCCTGACATTCGCAGAACTATACTAAATATTCTTTGATCCCAACGAAATGGTTCTTTAGTTAACTCAGAGCCTGGTACAGTGGAATCCATTGGTAAATTTAACTAAAATATACATAACCAACTAAGTTCAAATATCTTTATTGTCTTCTATTTCTGACTTGTCTGAGATCAAATCTTGAATTCAAGTACTTCAAAAAATATGTTGCTCTGGAAAATTTACGTTGCTTCGTGGGTTGATACTTATAGATCTGTTTTGAAACCAATCCCCTACAGAGACACTCAAAAGTTCAAGCATTGCCATGGTTACCTGTGGTTGTACAGAACTGGTACTAGTTAAAGGACTGTTATCTGTTATAACTATTATCACAGCAGGTTCGAGATAGAATGGACATCTTCCCTGGAAAAATAAGAAAGTAAATATATAAGCTTATGTTTGTTAACTTGCGACCACAAGGAGAAATTTGTATAATTTGAGAATATGAATAATTAGAGAGATTTAACTGCAAAAGGGTCAAGGTCACCATGGGAGCTATTTTAGGAAGTAATTGGGTAATTACTGGCATTTTTAGGAACCATTAAGATACAAGATTTTCAGATTGTCTCAACTAACCATTTTTGGCCAAATTTTTTGCATCAAAAACAAGTCCTCACCTGTCCATAAGTGTCAATACCAGTCTGCATACGATTGATATTCAACAAATCAAAGGCATGTTTCAATGATGAACCTAATGTAGAGAGTCCACCAGCTTTTAAATGACGTAATTCACTGACGAATGTAGCATGACTTTCTTTCCATCCTGCCTGAAATTACAAAATGACCATAAAAAAATAGTTGAGAAACTTAACATGAAATGATGACTGTTAATAAGATCGATAATAATAATTAAATTGTTGAAGAACCAAGCCAAAGTATATGTTTAGTAATCGAGACCTGTCCTGCATATTGATTTCAAAATGTACCAGTAATAATAGTTAATAATCCCATGAGCAAAGATTCTACTCACTATCTCTGATAAGATCAATATTTAGATTCAATAAAGAAAATTATTATGCAACAGTGATTTTTTGTAGATGTGGCCATTTGCATGCTTTTCCCATATATATTGTAACATGTATGGGCACAAAATAGGAAAGATTAAAGGCCTGATAGAACTCTAAATCAGGAATTGATGTTGTAAATGCATACACAAGTTGCCCCAAATAAGTGTAATTTTGGATTTGTAGATGCAAGGGGGTGGAATGTTCCTATGATTGTTAAAAGGTTTTATAAGAGAAACTCTCTTATAGGAGCACTGACCTAGGTCACAAGTAGAGACCTGAATTTCAGGATTGGAATACATCAATTTGATAGAAAATTACCTACTTCTGGAGATATTTACAAGATAAGCAAATAATTCAGAAATGCAAAGCGATTGTTTCAGGGTGTAAATGAAAGGGGATCTAATCTACCATGAACATTACTTAGATTTGTATTCCTTTTGTAATGCTCAGTTCACACCAACGGCGCTTTGATCGCGCTTTAGAGCGGCGTACAAAGCGATACCAAAGCGTAACAAAGCTCGACTAAAGCGCCAGAGTCGTAATAGATCGTTGGAAAGCTTTGAGCAAAGCTGGATATTCGGCAAGAACGCAGAAAAAATTTAAACTGTTTAAAAATTTTGGGCGCTCTGTCACGAATTGATTAAAGCGCCGAGAACGTATCAAAGCTTAACAAAGCTTGACTCAAAGCGTAGGAAAGCTTAACAGAGCTTTATTCAAAGCGGGGACCCCAGTCTTCACTTGATCAAAAGCGGCATGAAATCGGCCATTTCGAAATTTTCAAATGCGTAACAGAGCTTAACAATGCACAACAGAGCTTGATAATCGTATCAGAGCTTGATTTAAAGCGTCATAACCTCATCAAAGCTTAATAAAGCTTATCAAAGCGTGATTTAAAGCGTAACAAGGCCTGATCAAATCGGGAAATAATTCGTCCCCAAAGCGTAACCAATTCGTATCAGAGCTTATCAGAGCGTAACATTACTTAGGAGATCGTGATATTTTTGGAAAAGTAAACAAAAAATGATGGCGCTTTGCTCGCCAATTTAAAGCGCAGCATTCGCCGTTGGTGTGAACTAGGCATAAGCAGTCACCAAACTTTTAGTATAGATGTTAGGGAATTCATCCCAGGGGCATTTTTAGCTATAGAATTGTATGTTGCATCAAAGGTATTATTTGATTGTCATGCTGTATATTTAGGCCGTTAGGTACAACTGTTTGTATTGGTCAATCCAGAAACTCTTCCTTCACAATCGCTTGGTTTTTGGTTTGACTGTGTAGATACCGAAACCTATTGGCATAACAAGATCTCCAATGGAATGATTGGTTGAAATGAAATGATTCACGACTGGTCTGTCTTCTTTATGAAGAATGTCAAAGCGATGACCGCTAAGACGAGTATGTGTATTGTGGAACAATGATAGCATAAATTTGCACTTACATCTGTGTATAATGTCACTAATCACAGAATATGCTTTATCCATTAAGGAAACAATTAGTTTTAAAGGAATTGCAGGAAACACAGATGTCTGATCAAAAATTGATTAAAATTGGAATGGTGCAAATAGATACTATCAGTCCCTGATATACATAAAAAATTTAGAAAACTTCTTTACAATCCCTTTAAGATTTCTACCTACTGTATATAGAAATAACTATATCTAGATCAGTCAAGCTGTTACAACTATAAATGAACATCAGCTATAAAGCTTTAATAGATCCCAATTATTCAGTCGCTTTTTGAGGCCATACCTGTCTATTGATCTAGACAAGTTGTAAAGTATTAAAATTATACTTTCAGAGCCATTATTTATTTTAATGTAGTTCTCTTAATTTTTTTTTTAATATAGAGTAGAATCAAAACCACTCACATATTTCTATGATAAAAAGACCAGCTTTAGACAATCATGTTTTTACTTTTCTTTTGATGGCTGTTTATACCTGTAATGCTCCAGGTTGGCAAACGAGTACTAACTTAACAGCTAACTGCCTCAAGGTCTGCAAGAATTTTTTTTCTTTTATTTATTGACAGTGTCATGCAAAACATAATGCAAGAATCTTACTTTGCTGCTCCTAAATGGAGCTAATGATATTCATTGAGAGCACAAGAAGGAAAACTTTTTATGGACAACAGTGCCCATGAGCATACTCCATTTCCAACTTTCCAGGGATTTTAAATGTGCAGAGACAGCACACAAGGTATTAGTTTCATTATCTTTCGGCGGAAATCTTAAAATCTAAGAGTCTTTCCAAAAAGCCCAGAATTTGAAGTTGGAGAATTACGATTCGTTTAATCACTCTTATGAAAATAACTTTGACATATTTCTTAGCATGTTACTATTAGGCTTTGTTTATCATTTATGCCTTAAATTTAACTTCTTACTGACATTATATCTGATATGGCAGCTTTTAATGCTAGCTAAAGATGTTATTAGATTTTGGTTTTTGTGCCATTGATAGAACCAAAAGTTACATTCACTTATCTAAAGTTTTTCACATTTTCTTTTCTTTCTAAGTACCGGGGTGTGTTGGTTAAGTCCAATCTTGAATACAGGATAGATAAGACTTTGTTAAGTATCAATAGGCATTTCAAGTATATTATCTTGATTAAGGCATAACTTCCAATTATTTAAGCCTTTCAAAAGCTAATTCTTTATGTAAGGTTCTATCTTAAATACAGAAATTCCCTAGATTTAATTGGTCATTTGAGCATGAGCAATAAACAGTATATGCTCTCAATTATTGCCAAAATCACATTAAAAATTACAGCTTGAATAGAACCTCTTATTCGTTGAATAGCACCATTTGTTGACAAAATTGTATCTAAAAAAATATAATTTTATGTAGTGTAAAATACTTGTTTAGTATTCCCTAAACTTTGAAGGACTGATCTAGCCCAGAATGTTTTCATTTGTTTACCTATGTTTACATCAGTGAGACTTTAGGTACTTACACCAGAGAGAGAAAAATGATATCAAAGAATCTGTTTAGTTTTTTTTGGAAATTAATTTGCGGCCGAAATTCATATTTCACGAAGTGATATACTTTGACCCGATTAATTTGCATATATGCAAATGAGATAAGTTTACTAGACATGCGCAATATCCATATCCATTCCCACAATCCTTCCACACAGAAGGGCAGAAAATGGCGGGGTTGGTTCTTTGACATTTCAGCTCTCTGAATTTTGGTGGTCTGTCGTCACCAAACAAGCACTTCCATCTTTCGCACTTGGCCATTACCTAGTCTTTGATGTAAACTCAGGAAACATCTGGTTCTTCACTGGCAAAGGGGTTCTATCCAGCTGTCATCTTGGATTATTTTTACCTTGACGTTCAATGGCGGATCTTCATAAGTCAGCAACATGTATCGGTCCCATCGACTATTAGGATCGCGGGATCTTATCTGAATAATAAAAGAAATAAAGAATCATTTGACCTTATAATTTGCCGAGATGTTAGGAAACATTTTCGGGCAGAAAAGGGTCTATTATTACCTTCATAAACGTCTCAACAGCTGCCTTTGCGACATCGATAAAAGCGGTTCCCAAATATGTGCGTTGATTCATAGACGCACTCGTGTCAACAAGGAATAATATGATCGTCATATTGCTATTAAATGTCTATTATGAGAGCTCAAAACCGTCGTTTCCGTATAAAACGGTTTATTTTGTCGGAAAATCCGACAATCACTCCGCTTTCGGACACTACCGCACTTCATCTGACTGCTTTTAGCAGCCAGCGAGCACGCCACGATTGGTGACCACGTGACCTTCTCGCCATTGCGATTTTGATTGGCTAAAAATAAGTCAATATGGAGCAGTCGTTGTAACTTAGAATGTAAACAAAAACAAATCCGCTGGTTTTACAACCATTGTTGCTACCTTCGGGTAACGTTTTAAGAATTTTAAGCTCATATGCTTATTTTCCGTTAACATTTAACGATAATTTGCAAAATCGTCAATTTTGTGAAATTAAAAACTTCTAAAAATAAGTTGATAATGATACGTCCCTTTCTGTCATTGACGTCTTGCTACAAAGTATAAGGGTGTTGTACATGCAGCTATGTAGTAAGCATTCATTCTTTAGCTTGATAAAGAGATAGACCTAATTATAACCATGACGGCTGTATCAAACAATAACCAACATAGTCTATTTTTGGCTTAGCCTTCACTTATATATTTATAACAAAGATTAATGATCATAACTGGAAAATGATAGAAATAATTGAATGAATGAATGAATAATTGAATGAATGAATGAATAAAATTGTCTTTGCTGACTTGCACTGCTTTACCTTGCCCATAAATGAAAGATCATAATACAATCATTGTAACGTACAAGGACTTTTATATTCCTGACTTAACTGCAAACCTGAATCAATAAATAGGCTTATCCATATCTATAGGCTATTTCACAATATCTTTTTACACACTTGTAGAGTTTTCCTTTTTTGTACTTACAAGCGAAAGAAATTTACTATTGAATTATTATAACTGAATTCAAATTTGTCCCTCATTTAAGAAATATTAAGTTTTCAAGTGTACATCATTTGTCTTGGACTGCAGGTCTTTTCCATCCATAGAAATTGCAACTCAAAAAAATCTCGTTTTGGACTAAAAATTTCTTCTGTAATTCTGTAAAATCAAATTCTGAAAAGAAACATTTTATTATGAGGGTTCATCAACTCAAAGATAAACTTAAACCTTCACTTTTAGGATGCTCTGTCAATTCTTGTAAAGTTATTCTTGGTCAAATAGTTATACAGTATTCACGAGCTTTCAGTATACTTATATCAAAGATATTTGGGTTTACTAGGCCTATTGTTTATTAGGATGTAATATATAATTTCACATGCATATCAGGACAGAGTTAGCAATTAGAGATTGAATATGATAATATCTACTGAAAGAAATTGTTTAATAGGGTTAACTACAGTAGGTTAGCAATGAGGAAGTCTAAAGTTTAAACAGAATAGATCAAAAAACTATGACAAGTACATGTGTCATGTAGTTGCCTCATTCCAAAATTACTTGTGAAGGAGTTAAATGTATTAAATAAATAAGAACACTATTATGGATAATACAACTCCTTCCTTTAATTTTTGCAACGTTTCAATTCACATACAGGAATCTTATCATTATGATGTAAAACACATTGCACTGGACATATTTTAATTTGAAAGGAATTATAAAATACAGAAAACAGATGTAAATTGATATTTTATTTGTATATTTGTAGGTGACAGCAGAATTTAATATGGACCATATATCAACTGTTCAGGATAATGTTGAGGTGTGAAGTTCACAAATAGAATGGTTTTCTTACAATGTGATTTGTATTTGTTAATATTTTTTTTTCCTTTTTATCATGCTGTACAATTATGTAATATCTAGGTGATCCAATGCATGTATTTTCAATTAATAAGGGATAAATTGCTTTATGAGCTGAGAAAATTCAACTACCTGTATCCCTTACTGGAATAAAAATCCATTTCTGGATTATCATCAATTTCAAATTCAACATTTTGGATTTACTGTCTCATTGGTTTCAGATATTAAATTTCATTCCTTTGAATATTAAATGGTGTGCTACTGAAAGAAACCGCAATGCTTAGTTTCTACTTCCAAACTATAAAGTGAATTTTAAAATTGCATCTGGCTACATTGACCACTTTTTGATTTGTGCTATTGGTCCAAAATGACTAGTGCAAACCATGAAGTATTATTGAACATCACAAGGAATTGATCTTTTTTATCTTTTAAGTATCTTGTAATCTTTGAATTAGATGCTTATGTAACATAGCAATTCTCAGGAATATTTTTATTATCCAGCTTTAATGATATTATAATTTCTATACTTGCAACCTTTTTAAAAATAATATTTTTTCAGGTTAATGGTTATGCAGCTGGTAGTTTATGAATTGATGCATGGCTTAATGTATGGTTCAAGGGAGACAAATCCATATTAAAATTAAAATTTGCATTCATAATGGTATCAGCTTCTCCTGCTACAATAATTGTAAACTTCTTCATTGTGATTATAACCTCTGATATAAGGAAATGTGAAATTCCATGTCCACCAAAGTGTTTATGTGGATTGTCTTCAGGCTCCGAAATTACTATAGATTGTTCATCTCGAAACCTAGCCAAATTAGAACATTTGGAACTAGCTCAAAATTTAGAAATTAATAGGTTGAATTTAAGTTACAACCACATCAGCAGTGATAAAATACCAATCATTAAAAGTTTGAAAATCTTAGACTTGAGCCATAATAATGTTCTTGATATACCCAAGATCCTTACACAATTTCTTAATCTTGAAGTTTTAAATCTCTCCCATAATGCTTTTCAGACCATTCCAAAAAATTTACCTCCAAAACTCAAAGTTCTGAAATTGAGCTATAATAGTATTAAAATCGTTGATTTTCCAGTATTTACCACACTTTTGAATCTCCAAGCTCTTTATTTGGATTTCAACATGATTTCAAACATTGAAACTTCAACTGGCCACACTGAGTTTAAGAAATTAGAAGTCTTGAATCTAAAAAGTAACAAGCTAAAGAGACTTTCTCATCATTTTTGGGAATCATTAGAAAATGTTAAAAAGCTATCTTTGTGCAATAATTCTTTGGATTCCATTTCTGATGCCACTTTTGTGAATTTTGCACATTTAAATCATCTTGATTTGTCTCACAATAACCTTCAAGAAATTCCTGCCGACATTTTTGTGCTGAATACCAACTTGAAATACTTGATTGTGTCTAACAATTTGTTAAAGAAAATTCCAAAAGGTCTACCAATGTTAGAGTGGTTAGATCTTTCTTACAACCAAATACGCCAAATTTCAGAAGATCACAGCAATGATTTGTACCCACAAGAGATATTTTTGATAGGAGGCAATCCATATCATTGTGATTGTGACTTACTGTGGTTAAAGGAATACTATCACACACGCGAATTTCTTAAAATGATAGTGAACATTGATCCTCTCAAATTCATTCCTGTGTGTGCTAGTCCTGGAAAATTGGCAGGGAAATCATGGGAAGTTTTAGATGACACTTTATTTGGATGTGATGTTAATTATGTTGATAGTGCATCAAAATCTCAGGAATTTCTGGAAGGTTCCTCTGAGGTTCCATCTTGGAGAATATCTGATCTCTTTATCAAAATATCTGAAGTTGGTGACACTTATATACACATAGTTTGGAATTCATTGGCAGTTAAGTCAGACTCATCGAAAAATGTCATTTTCTTCAGTATTCATCCATTTGGAAAAAAACATTTACGACAGAAAGCCATGTTGGAAATTAAACTTGGAAAATATGTAGTCCGAAATTTAGATCCAAATAGGCAATATCTTTTATGCATAGGAATCATTCCACCAAATGAAAAATCTGCTGATATTTCATTAAATAACTGTCATGAAATTGTTACCTTGGAAACACCCTTTAGTTTTAGTGTGCAATCTGTGATATCTTACAGCTTTTTGCTTATATTTTCTTTTGTTATTGTTTACTATTTTAGCATTTGGGCGTTAAATCTCAAAATATTTTATAATTTTGTTAAATTCCTTCAAAAGGATTCAGTTCAACTGACCAAAAACGACTATGCAATTACACCAAAATCCATTTTAAAGAAGAATAAAACTTAAAATGTATGACACAGAGGTTCTTATTTTACCCCATCTCAATCCAATCTGATCCAAGAGCTTGTATGAAGTCAACATTTAGTCCAAGAATTTCCAGTTGTGGCTGATAGATTATATTGGACAAGTACATTATGGTTATTTTGTGCATGTTCCAAGAGCTAGATATTTAATGGCTCATACTGCACTGGTTGATTATTTAAAAAGGAATCAAAACTGAAGTCATATTGCTTAAAACTTTCAAAACAAGCGAGATTTTCACATATTTTTGCTAATATAAATAGAAATTCATTTCCACAGAAGGTATTTCTTGATATTCTGAATCCACTTGTAAAGAATGGATCAACTAATGCAACAAAATTAATCAAAGTATTGCAGATGCCAAAGCATATATAACATTGTAAATTGATAAAGATGAACTAAATGCTGAGGCCTCATATGGCTACAAAGTGTTAAGATGCATATTTTTGTACATTTTATTACAAAGTATTGCATATTATGTAAATACAACAAACAACAGAAGTTTACACCAGTACACAAAAACTTGAAAATGATCAGCTGTTCTACTGGCACTTTAGAATTATGAATTGAAAAGACTCATTAAGGGCTATTAAAAGGCATCATTCAAAATAAAAAGCAAATATTAAGACCATGTTTATCTATTCATAAGCACATTGCTGTAACTGAGATGAGATGTAAACTGACATCATTTAACTCATAAATTTAAATATATAGCATTAGCATAAGATAATCAAGAAATTAATTCTAAAAATAAAGACATTTAAAATAAGAGACAAATGGAAAAAATATGAAAGATAAAATAATTCTAAATTATGGATAAATATAATAATACATGAACAATGAATGATATCAAATGCTTGTGGTAAAAGTGATATGTAGTATTAAGTATATACATGTACATACATATTTTGCAACATGCTCTGCAACCAACAAACCAGAATGGTTTAAACATTAATTACCATTCAATAAATTCTTTCAAACAATTATGTTTTAAAATTTAAAGGAAATTCTTCAAAAAGTATAAAAGTTCTCCCTGTTAAAAGTATTGGTCCATTTATGCTGATATCAACAATATTAATAACCATCAAATATAACAATAAATAAAGATATCATTAACTAATAACAATTAAATGTAACAATGTTAGAGAGTAATGAGTGACAGTGGAACTTTACCATATAAGATATTAAACCTTACAAGCAGCCATCCATATTACTTTTCAGAAGTAAAATCTAGTGCCGTTTTGTCCTGCAATTCATCAAGAATGCCACCTCTTAGTTATCGACACTCTCATCTGCAGAAATTAATGATTTTTAGCGCTTTTAACTGTCTATGAGAATATCTATAATGGCCTGAATTTTAACTATACATTTTTGTTGAATCACATACTATATTATTGTCAAATTTCAATTCTGAAAAGTGATAAAAGATACTATGACTGGTGTAAGAAAACTGTAGCCCAACAGACATTTTTTCATAGTCTTGAGACATTTAACCAACTTTCTGTTAATCATAATGTCACACACATCAATTTTATCGCCTGACATTTTCTATTTGTAGTCAGACAGGACTGTCACTAACTCCAGAATCAACGACCTTTGGATTTTGCACTTTGGTATCATTCATCTTCTGGTATATATATTTCATCTCCACTGTCATTTCTCTCATCCTCAAATACTTGTTCATCTTCTTGCTGACCGGAAAACACAACTGGTTCCCTGTGTCCAGTAGATCTCATTGGACTCCTGTCTCCAGTGCTACCAGACTTCCTGACTGGTAATTGAGAACGGCGAGGTTGTAGGTTTACTTTTTGGAAGGCCATGATACAATGAAGATTTCCTCCTATTGTCTGTCGCGTCTGCTGCCCTTTCCAAAGACGTCTTATATCAAGATAGGTTGGATTTTCATTATTCAAATCTGTGGAAATGTCTGACCATCTGGAAAATATCACAGGATTTCTACTTGTAACAAGCAAAGTAACAAAACTCGTGAAAAATAATGACTTATAGAGCAAAATATTATTAGAGTTCTATAAGCTCATGGAAAACGCAGTGGCTAGTGAGTTAGACACTTGCTCACCATCATTTTTCAACCCAGTTCCCCCCTACCCCCCTGTTAGTGATAGAAAAACAAATCTTTTCATTCAAATGGGACAATTAACAGAGAACCTTGTGAATCACACATTGCACGTTAAAGATTCCTTGAAGGTTGAAAATGCAAAAAGGATCAGCTAATGAAGCTGTCCAGACAAAATCTGACTATCTGTACATACTTTTTAGAATGGATACTTGGTTGATATGCATTAGACTCTCCTATTAATATCCATGTCTGAACTTTATCTTGTGGTAACAAACCTCTGGAAAAAACATTTTTTTAATTCAATAGACATAAGTGCACCAAGAGGATTAACTCTTAAATGACCACTGTTTAACTAACTACAGACTCTAATCGACTGGCTATTCAAAGCATCTCATTGATCTGATGCAGTGAATGTGATCTTTAAGCAGTAGAACAGCAGATACATATTACAACTTTAGGGTGTGCTTAATCCATGGGCTGACAAGATTCTCATAGTTCATAGTTATAAGCATTCATTCAAAATCAAGATGTTCTTAGATTCTGCCTGTAGTAAAGTCCCCAGCCCATGTCCCCTTTCAAGCTTATCATCATACATTCTACTAGTAGTAACACAAGAGTTTTCCTACTTGTAAGCATCTTCAGAAACCATAGGTGTATCTTCATAACCAATAGGACAAAAAAAATGGTTGAAACAGTGATAAATGAAGGCTGAATTGGGATCATGTAAACCTTTCTTTAACATGTACAGAGCATCTCTTGATGTAACACCAGCTGTAGCATTTTTACCAACTGGTTTGTAGGTGAAAAAACATCTCCCTTTCACTTTAAAATGGTGGTTCAATTCACGAAACCATCTACAATCAAAATAAAACCTGATTAGTTTTTCATTGATTAGACCTAAGAATCTTCAAATTTTGAACTATTCTTTACCATCATTTCTTGCTCCCATTCAGTTCAAAGTAAAAATATTGGGATCTTACCCCATATCTGATGAAAAAGTAGTGAAAAAGACCATTGATAGCAGTAGGCTATGTGTGCTTACTTACCTTAATAAAGTAGCGTTTCCAGTAAATGGACCAAATTTAATTTCTGAATATGGTTGTTTAAATCCTAGAATTCTCAAAGCTTCCTCTTGACTTAAAGGTGCAAGACTAAAAAAAAAACAACAAATACATGTATATTCAAAATTTGAAAAAGCTTAAATTATGCAATAGTTGTCATTTTAAGCTGTTTCCATCATGATACTAATACTTACCTATCATTACCTAGTGTAGAAAAGAGATATTTCCAACATGATACTAAAAAAAAGAGATAATTCCAACATGATACTAAATACTTACCTACAAATACCTAGTGTAGAAAAGAGATAATTCTAACATGATACTAGAAAAAAAAAGATAATTCCAACATGAAACTAAATACTTACCTACAAATACCTAGTGTAGAAAAGAGATAATTCTAACATGATACTAGAAAAAAGAGATAATTCCAACATGATACTAAATACTTACCTACAAATACCTAGTGTAGAAAAGAGATAATTCTAACATGATACTAGAAAAAAGAGATAATTCCAACATGATACTAAATACTTACCTACAAATACCTAGTGTAGAAAAGAGGTAATTCAAACCTGATATTAAAAAAAGAGATAATTCCAACATGATACTAAATACTTACCTACAAATACCTAGTGTAGAAAAGAGATAATTCTAATATGATACTAGAAAAAAGAGATAATTCCACCATGATACTAAATACTTACCCACAAATACCTAGTGTAGAAAAGAGGTAATTCAAACATGATATTAAAAAAAAGACATGATTCCAACATGATACTAAATACTTACCTAAAAATACCTAGTGTAGAAAAGAGATAATTCCAACATGATACTATACTTACCTACCATTACCTAGTGTAGAAAAGAGGTAATTCCAACATGATACTAAAAAAAAGAGATAATTCCAACATGATACTAAATACTTACCTAAAAATACCTAGTGTAGAAAAGAGATAATTCCAACATGATACTAATTACTTACCTACCATTACCTAGTGTAGAAAAGAGATAATTCCGACATGATACTAATTACTTACCTACAATTACCTAGTGTAGAAAAGAGATAATTCCGACATGATACTAATTACTTACCTACCATTACCTAGTGTAGAAAAGAGATAATTCCAACATGATACTAATTACTTACCTACCATTGCCTAGTGTTGAAAAGAGATAATTCCAACATGATACTAATTACTTACCTACCATTACCTAGTGTAGAAACGAGATAATTCTAACATGATACTAATTACTTACCTACCATTACCTAGTGTCGAAAAGAGATAATTCTAACATGATACTAATTACTTACCTACCATTACCTAGTGTCGAAAAGAGATAATTCCAACATGATACTAAAGATGATATACCACATGCTTTAGGAATTTGAGGACGGGAAATACAGTTCCTACAAAAAATTAAAATGTGTCAGCAATGATATTAACTAAAATGGTGTCGAAGCAATAGCCTACATTGTAGGTAACAAAAATTGACTGTGACACCCATCAGCACTGATAAAAGTATATATAAGTCCTTGCTTAAACATACAGGAATAAAATACTAGCATTCACCAACAAGTTTTTTGTGACTTTGTAGAGTTGTGCCTCAAGGGAAATTTATCCAGGACAGTGGCATATGCTTACAGGCTTTAACAGATCATAGGATAATCTGCAGCTTAGGAGCTTTTTTCAAGTCACTTCTCAGACCTGCATCACCGCTAGAAAGTGTTCAAACCCAGAGCTTTTAATTTAACACCTTTCTCACAAAGCCACCCCTGTTTTCAAAAAAGTCATGTGAGGAACTCCTACCATCTTTTCTGATCCAAGATTTTTCTTTGAGCTATTTGATCAGAGGTAGCTGTTATAGCTGGTGATAGATTGTCATCATATTTAATATCACTATCTATCCATCTTCTTACTTTATTTAAACCTACAATATAACAAGTCTAAGTTTTTGATTGTTTACAAGGAGATGAGTAGATGATGTAAAAAAAAGAATCCTTGGATAAACATTATGCAACAAATCAAAAGGCTTGACACAAATTAACTCAATTTTCACTGCAACACATTGATTTTCGCTAAACAGTGCAGTTCAATATTGATTGGTTCCTTGTAAGAAAAGATGACTTTTACTTGAACTCAGTATGGAGTTTTGCTTTCCAGATATGATAATCAAAATAAGATAAGAAGAAACAAACTACTGTACTTTTCCGTGTATAATGCGCAGGTTTTTACCCTGAAAAGGGATACGCACAGAAGGGGTGCGCAATATACATGGTTAAATAATTTTTGAGTTTTTTTTTATAATAAGTTTTCAAGCAGAAGTCAAGGATCAGGAAAACTTTTTTAAGGTGTCACTTACAAACGTCATACAGCCAAACCTGTTTTTGGTTCATTTCTGGATGCCCTAGTAAAGTTTGATCACCTAATGTCACAATGTATACTGTTTTAAGTAAAAACCAAAACATACAGCAAGCATGAAACTTATTTATAAAAAAAAAGGAGGCAACAAAGAAATAACCAAAATTCCCCAAAAAATAAAATTCGATAGAAATGCCTACCTGCAGATTTTGATTTCGTATCATTATTACTTTGAAAATCACCAACATCAATTTCCCAAGCTAGAGTATTGTCACCTTCACCAGAATCAAGATCATTGGAAAGATTACCTAAACCGTCACCATTAGGAATACTAGATTTACCTCCCTTCCCTCTCATAAAGACTTCAGAGTTATCACTCCCTGAATGATTGCTGGAGTGTGATGTAGTTCTTTGCCCTGGAGCAGAAGTCATCGTGATTTCTGGTATTATGCCTTCACACAAATTGTCTGATGATTTCAACAGTTCATCACTGATCAATTCATCTGAGTTTTCACCTTCAGAATTTGAACGTCTGGCCTGCAAACTTTCATTTTTCATATTGTCTGCATATGCTTGTTTATCATGCTTCTTTGGACTTTTGCTTATTGGTATTGATGATTTATTCCGTCTTAGTCCATTTTCATCAAAAGTTCCTGAAATGTCCATAAAAAGGGCTTTGTATCTAGTTGTTCGGATTCGACGATTAACCGAATCTAAAAAAAAATGTAGGCTATGCAGCTGTCCAACAAAAATTTCCCTGATTGCAAACTCCATAGTATTGCCTGTGTACACATTCAATTTTTTCAATATCAATAGTATCGTAGAGGTGAGGATCCTTTTTTCAATCATCAATTCATAAATATCTATTTCAAATTTTTTTTCCACACTTTAACACCATGACAATCTAGACAACTTACCCACACCTCCTTGTTGAAGATTCAAAGCAGCATTGTAAGCAGCATCATAATTCTGTTCATTTAAATGTGACATCAACACTTCAACTTCTGATACTAATTTACTGACAACAGCAGCATCAACTGAAATCTGACGTCCTACTGCTGCTGGTGCTTTCAGGTTTTCTTTATTTTCAGCAGGTTCAGTATCACTATATCCGGTTTCATATGCTGAATAATAATCATCATCATCATCTGAATTGAGGTCATCCACAATATATGGTTCTGATACAGTTAATGAATTCCCCATTTTCTAATTTTCCTGAAATACTAAATTTTCAAATCCTGTTACTGACGGTCAACAAACTAGTGATTGCATCAAAAAAAAGGAGTATCCCAAACACAGTTTAAAAAAATAAGAATGCACAACATTTTACAACATCCAATATCACAAAAAGTCAAAAATAGTTATAAACTTTTGGAAGTCTTATAGAACGTTCATTTTGAATATAAGATCGATACAAGCTACAGAATATCCAATATCCATTTTTTACTTGTATCAATAGAAGAACCCCTTCACCAGAATTCTTAAAAACGCTATAGAAAACTATTAGTCATTTAATAAATATATATAAGATGATATCCCTGTATATTTATACAGTATACTATATTCCATTGGTAATATTATTTATTGATTTACAGTTACACAGGTGTTTCCATTTTTTCCAGGATATATTAGACCTGTCAGCTATTATTACTCATATCCTTTATTACTAGCATGTTTAATACTCAATACTGAATAATTAAAGCAATTGCATATCATATTGTTCTATTTAACACACAGAGAAAGCTGAACTGTGACCTGTACCCATCCATAGATCCAAGTACACAAAATCAGTAATCAGACACAAAGTGAGTCCAATAGCCATCCTGGATCACTCGATATTGAAGTGTATGATTCAAACAAAAAGAAGTACTATAATAAAAGAAGTAAGAAGACGCCTTTTAAAGGGACATCTCCGCCATTTTGGAGGTTTATTTAAGTCTTGAATATATGTATATAGTCCTCAGAAGTACTAGAAATGTACGAAGATCAATGGCCTGATATAATTAATTTTAGATGAACCAGAAGTCATTCACATAGCTTAAATATGCTGCGGAAAAACACAAATTGTCTTTGTCACTCATTTTTATTTGCCTACTCAAATCTTGAGTAAAATCTCACAAGTGCCCATGCTTCCACTGCAAGATTATAGCGTTGCTGTCGGGATTTATAATATCATGCTACGGCCAATAGTTTTATCGTCTGCATCATCATCCAATCAGATTCATTTTGCTTTCACCTGCATGGTCTGCAAGTGATTATTGGTGAAAAACTACTGACTGGAGATTTCTTGTCCCTCATGTGCCTACAGCCAGTTGGTGAAACTCTTGACCAGACTCTAGTCGGCACCAAAAATCACTGACTAAGACGGCAGCATGAGGCAGATGTCACTAGAAAGACATGTATGCCAATCTTCATCTTGGATTGTCAATTTGGAATCCCTTTTAAGTCAACACAGCCTAAAATATTGATATAAATTGGTTTTTCTAATTTGTAAATGAAATTTACCTTGGAAAGTATTTGAGATTGTGTCAGCTAGTTGTGGTCTGGAACCTGATCAAGTTGACAGCTGATATTATTGAAACATATTTTAACACTGACTCATTCTAAACATTGATCAACTTTAACTTAATCAAATACACTTTAAATCTATATTCACATTATTATTTCATAATTCATAGAGGTACAGAATACGAGTGAATATTAAACAATAAATATTCCAGAATTCATCACAAGTGGAAGACATAAAACATTTAGTATTATCAATATTATAATTAGACCTAGATAATAATAATTAATAGATTTAATGGGACATATAATTGTTCCAAAACAAATTCCTCACAGATGGTAAGTGAAGACACATTAAACTCTAGAAAAAAGATTAATTTTGTTTCGTTCTTAGCACCTAGTCGAAGATTTTTAGATCTTTTTTCAAAAAAATTTGTTCACCGTTATTTGTTTTCAACACTTGAAGACTAAGATAAATTTTTCATATACACTGCAGCTGTTTTTAATACTCCATTTCTTAAATCCTCAAAATTTATATCTAGTAAGTAACTGAAAGAGAACTATGTAGGTACACTATAACCTGGCTACTATTAGAAAACTATTTTGAAATCAATTATAATGTTACAGGTCAGCTACTATAAATAAGACAATTTAAGACATTCCTCATATTCAATATATATATAATTTTCGATAAATATACTATAATAGACACTTTAGTTAAACTAGTCAGAAACCTGCTGACTCTCATTAGCCTTCAGTACTGATAGTTTTTTCTGGATTCAGAAGCATTAGGTACATCAGGTGCTTTTCTTATACTGGTACCTAACTATTTCTCCCTTCCGCACCCTTCAAAAACTATTAAAAGACCAGATGTGCCATTTTCAGGGGTTGATTTAGGGCTTGATTATATGTAAATAATCTTTAGAAGTACTAGAAATGTATGATAATCACATAATTCCTTCAAAAATATCTCAAACTTGGAATTTAACGTTAAAAGACAGGTTGTCATTTTAACATTCAAACGCAGATAATTCTGTACACACATACATTTGAAGGCTCAAATAGCGATGGTGAGCTGTGAACATAATTACAGATGAGCTTATCAAAAAAATTCCCCTTTCTGACACTAAGGTATGATTGGCCGAAAATATGGCGCACTTGTCCCTTTAAACTATATAAGAGGCTGACAATATTAAGCAAATTTCTTTTATTAATAATATGACATGCCTGTTTAAATTCAGAAATCTCATCAATTGAGTGTAATAATCCTTTGATGAAAGCAGGTTGATTCAAATACATACCTTAGAAAAAAAATTGGAATGCCATGAATGTTACTTAAATTCAGAAAATTCTGCGATTAAGATTTGAAGTTCTTTGGATATCTGGTTAACCATTCATAATAGAACGATTTTTTTCACCTTTGGTTTCATTTGATTTAATGCACTAGTGAGAAATTCATATCAAATTGATTCTGATATGGGAAACTACTCACTGCAAAAACCTGTTATTTATAGTAAAATTCCAAATGAAATCAGTCTTAAAGCTCCTTTCTAAATATAGATATTATAGCAATGGTATCAAACATAATAATTTTTTTCAGAATAGTACATGTTACTAAAATGTTTTAGTAAATTTTAGTTCTTCATATTCTTGATATTGTAACCATAAACCAAAATCTGGTTACTTGTTTGATCACTTAAAAAAAAAGCACTTAAATTTTTGACAGGGAAATTTAGATTTGTCTTTGTAATAGGGTCTTGCCTAGGAATGTTAATATCTACAATATCACTCTTATTTTAATTTTTAATTGGTGGACAATGGAATAGTCCAACTTAAAATCTTGTTTATACCCAAAAGTTATCAATTACCTCAATGATTCTTGCCTAAAGCTATAATCCCTTCATCAAAATTCCACAAACGACCTACTTAAACATCTTATTTAAGCCACAAAATTCCAATGTTGACAAACAAAGAAAACCTATAAAAGTTTGAAAGTTAACAAGAGTTCTGTGATAGACTGGTAACATATGGGAGTAATTTGATAGGCTTCCTTGACAACCTTACTACTACCTCACATATAGTACAAGGTGTGACTAAAACGCCAGATTTCCCCAACTATATGGAAATAACAGATGATGGTGCCTATCAAGTTTAATAAGACATTAACAGGCATGCATTGCTAAATTAAAAATTATGGAATTATGATGCTCCTGAAGTTTCTTCTCTAACCTAAGTTAATCTCTTATCAATGAGTCTTTTTTGGTCATGGTCAATATCAACTAATTTCATGGAAGGTTTGTGAAGAGAATTTAATACAGTTAACCATTTGGAATATGAATCTAATTTTTGTTTTATTTCCAGAACATTAATGAAAAAACATTGAGTGCATTATACTGTATTTTATAATTTTACCTGAGGCTTACTAGCTGTTGAGTTGCTACAAATTTTGAATTTGTAGGAATATATATTATATAGGAATGCTTTAAATAAAAATATCTCAACTATATACTTTAAAATACTATGAAATAAAATATCTGAACTATATCCTTTAGAATACCTACTATAAAATGAAATATCTCAACTATGTCATTAGGTTCCATAAAGTCCATGTTAAATATAATGATCTTATAATGTATTAACACATTAACACAAAAATTTTATTCTTTATCCATCTTGATTGATCTATGACAGCTTGTGGACTCATTGCATGTTTTCGTGTTTGCATTTTGGATTTGGACACATGGATTGTGATCATATATTGTGATATCAATTAGTCTTTTGTGATCAAAAATAAAAGGACTAGAACCATCAAAATTCAATTGAATCCTACAAGGGCCAAACAGCACTAGAGGCACACTTTCATATGTCATGCTAAATTGTCACCCATTCTTCTATGGACAGTTCCTGAATTTGGTGTCCTGGAGGCAGCGATCACAGCAAAACAATTTTTTCAAGAAATCCACCTGCTGGACCTTAGTAGGTTTCGATAATTTTTTTGTGCGCGTTCTGTTCTTTTTTGGTTCACCTAGACTACTACTCCATACAATGGTTTATGACATAAATGTTATACCCAGAAAGAAAAGTTCTTTTCTTTTATTTGAAATTCACATTAGATACCTGAAACTTTTATAGCAGTACATGTTCGATACAATAAGATCTAGATTAAATTCAAACTTATATCAAATCTTTTCTTTTCTCCTCAAAGAAAAAGGAGCACTTCAATTCCAGTGTCAAATGAATTATGTAATTAATAGAAAAAGAAAGAAGAAATTGATGTACAAAGAATGCTTGACATTAGATTGTCCCGGAGCATTGTAAGTCATATGTAAAAATCAATGCACTACAAAACTTTATAATTCTTTGAAAAATATCTACTGAAAAATCTCAAAGGAGATAAAGAATTTCTAAAACAAAAAACACCTAAAACCCTTTTTCTTTCAATGAAAAATCTTTAGAGGAAAACGTTTCAAGTTATGCAAAGAATTCTTCAAATAAGACCTTAAATGTTAAAAAAATTAAAAAAAAAATTACCTGAATATTGTCTAGAGTATCATGTTAAGCTGGTTGTCAACAAATGAATATATAAACCACTGTAACAGTATCTCTACTGATATGCTACACTACCTACATAGTCAAATATGACAAGGTTGGCTCTAAACTGGACCATGACATATCACCTGTAACATAAAACAATCAAATCTTCTTTAATCTTTTATATAATATCATAGAAATATCTTAGTGCTTTAGAGTGTCATAGTAAATTTTCAAATTCATTTGTACTTTTTATAAAGAAGAAAGGGGACAGATGTTCTCCTTGTTTAACACCTTGATGCTTTCACAAATATTTATTGTATGTTGTAATTTGTGCTGAATATTCATAGATGTTATTGCTATTTATTTTATTTTGAAAACCATGGTCAAAAATTTTTGTATTTAAAAACATTTTCATCCTCTGGTGTTATTGTAGGAATATTGTCTAAACTTGGAAATATAATGCTTGTCACATTTTAGATATCTAATATTCAAGATATTGTAAACCAAAATTGGCATTAAGAAAATGTGTTCTAATACATACTCTCAGACAAAATTTGAGTAAAAATCACAAAAAATGGTCTAATAACAATTTTATATTTTTTTTATATATTGTAGGCCATAATGGCAAAGAATATCAAACAAAACGAACATTAAGACTTGATTTTCCTGCAGGGCTTTAAAGAGAGTTTATGTTCATTTCCCTTACAGTACTAATTCATATAAATTATCATTGATAATATTTTCAAGAGGATGTAAGGTTTTATCAACTAATAAAAATTTGATATTGATTAAACAAGAGATTAAGAACAGATGTATTAACACAATCACTATCTGAAATAAGCTTATATTTCTTTTTTTGTAACCTCTGAAGGTTTAGATCAAATGGAGGATACTTAATAACATATACAATGTAATTTGCATTTGCCTTCCTGTTTCATGAAGGGGTAGTTTTTTGAAAAATGCACTTTGATCCATCAAGCTGTTATTCAGATCGATAAATTTGATTCATTTTTGACATAAGATTCAGTGGAATAAAAAAAATGTTACAGTTACAGTTGATTTAAGAATCTTAGAACAGTCCCAAATTTTTAAATTGATTGCTTCATGTGACAGTATGTATAAATTTAGAGCTGCAAAAATTCACATTATTGGATAACATTATCAGGAATTGTAGCAGCAGTAATACAAATTTATTTCAGCAATCATATTCAATTAGTGCATTCCTATCAGACTCAAAGCTTATATCAACATGAACATTTCCAATAGTTAATATAATAGCCACAATACCTCTTATCTTTAATATAACAACATTAAAATTCAAATTTTGTGGTATAAAATTTGTTTGTTTGTTTGTTTGTTTTAACTCATAAATTTACCTTATTTCCATGTGAATCTTCATGTATATATCCAAATTCTAAATTACTTTTCACATCTGTTTAGATATTCCCTTCTAATAAATAATAAACTGGTTTTAATACACAAATATCAAAACATGTTAGATCTGTGTAGGATAATCAAGTTTACGCTCAAGTTGTTCCCATTGACAATCTAACCTGGTCAAGATATAATTCCACCTACTATTCTACTGAATACAAACTCTTTATCTATTTATTCAAGCCACAATATGACAACATCAAACATGATTTAGAGAAAATAAAATCACAATATAACGAAAATCAAACCATGATTTAGAGAAAATAAAGTCACAATATAACCAAAATCAAACCATGATTTAGAGAAAATAAAGTCACAATATTACCAAAATCAAACCATGATTTAGAGAAAATAAAGTCACAATATAACCAAAATCAAACCATGATTTAGAGAAAATAAAGTCACAAGATAACCAAAATCAAACCATGATTTAGCGAAATTAAAGTCACAATATTACCAAAATCAAACCATGTTTTAGAGAAACGAAAGTCACAATATAACCAAAATCAAACCATGATTTAGAGAAAATAAAGTCACAATATAACCAAATTCAAACCATGATTTAGAGAAAATAAAGTCACAATATAACCAAAATCAAACCATGATTTAGCGAAAATAAATTCACAATATAACCAAATTCAAACCATGATTTAGAGAAAATAAAGTCATAATATAACCAAAATCAGATCTTAAGAAAGAAAATGCTAATGACCAAAATCAAACCATGATTTAGAGAAAATAAAATCACAATATAACCAAAATCAAACCATGATTTAGAGAAAATAAAGTCACAATATACGGTAACCAAATTCAAACCATGATTTAGAGAAAATAATGTCACAATATAACCAAAATCAAACCATGATTTAGCGAAATTAAAGTCACAATATAACCAAAATCAAACCATGATTTAGAGAAATGAAAGTCACAATATTACCAAAATCAAACCATGTTTTAGAGAAATGAAAGTCACAATATTACCAAAATCAAACCATGATTTAGCGAAATTAAAGTCACAATATAACCAAAATCAAACCATGATTTAGAGAAAATAAAGTCATAATATAACCAAATTCAAACCATGTTTTAGAGAAAATAAAGTCATAATATAACCAAAATGAAACCATGATTTAGAGAAAATAAAGTCATAATATAACCAAAATTAAACCATGATTTAGAGAAATTAAAGTCACAATATAACCAAAATCAAACCATGATTTAGAGAAAATAAAGTCATAATATAACCAAAATCAAACCATGATTTAGAGAAATTAAAGTCACAATATAACCAAAATCAAACCATGATTTAGAGAAAATAAAGTCATAATATAACCAAAATCAAACCATGATTTAGAGAAAATAAAGTCACAATATAACCAAAATCAAACCATGATTTAGAGAAAATAAAGTCACAATATAACCAAAATCAAACTATGATTTAGAGAAATTAAAGTCACAATATAACCAAAATCAAACCATGATTTAGAGAAAATAAAGTCATAATATAACCAAAATCAAACCATGATTTAGAGAAAATAAAGTCACAATATTACCAAATTCAAACCATGATTTAGAGAAAATAAAGTCACAATATAACCAAAATCAGATCGTAAAAGTTAATCCACAAGACGACCAAAACCGGGCCCCAGCAAGTGAGAATTAAGCCCCAGCAGAACCTTCTTCATTCAGTTCATATACAGTGTCTTTGTACAAGATCAAAAAGATATAGATTTTTATAAGTTCTTGGCACCTCAAAATTGTCAGAAATGAGTTCTCTGAGCCTTTAATTCTTCAAATTTTCTGATTACAAAATCTGAGCCCCAGCACCAATTCATTCCTTGTGACGGGGCTGAACCAAATCATGATTTAGAGAAATTAAAGTCACAATATGTCTATATCCCATGAATATTAAAAAATCACAATGGCCAAATTAAAATTACATAAT